CCATTAAATTCATTAAAGACATCAAAGGAACTGCAACAATGCCTCCAAATTTCAGTAAAAGACAGGTTCTATTCAAAAGTTTCAATAAGAAACATACAAAATCTATTATCATCAGATTTCAGATCCATATCTGAAGGAATATCGATCAAGTGTTACTCAAAAATATAAAAGCAACGTAATGGTTCCTCATAACCTGAAATCAATAGTCCAAACAAGCAAAGAAAAAGGAAGAAACATTGAATGGTCGGTTCCATTACAGAACCCCCCCCCCCCAAAAAAAAAAAGGAGATACAAAACCATAATAAAGAAAAAAGATACCATAGGTTGGTCCCTGGCCTCTTCCAATGGCAAGGTCGTCATTAAGAGCCAACCGAATTTCACGATTTCCAGAAAGATAGCTCTTAATTTGTATGGTGCCATCAATTTCAGAAGTCAATATATATCCCTGTTAAAATATATGAAATATGTTAAGACTGATCAGTACAACGCACAAGCGAAACTTAACAGTACGAAAGTTAACTCTTGAAACTTCAACCAAGAAAGATAAAAACTTCATTTGAAACAGTCATGACACATGAAAATATGGATTATTTACATATGCAGTGATAATGTACCCACACTGGAGCCGAAAGTGATGCTGATTTTCTCGATTATATCTACAAAAATTTCCTCCCTCCTTTTACCCCCAGGCCCTGTTGCCACAACTGATTTTGTGATGGCTGTCCCTGGCATTCTTTTTGTCCCTTGCTGCATATAACCAAGTTCAGGAATCTCACGTACTCAAACGATAATTACAAATAAGATATCTTCCAAGTGTCTGACACTATGAAAATATCCCACCGCAAAAATTGTAGCAGGCACAAGAGGTGATACTCCTGCAGCATGTACCACCATTGGTTCATTGAAAACATAGGATTTCAACACTTCAGTAGATGTTGTTTGCACATAGCCAAAGTCCTTGCACAAAGAAAATCATCAGGATATTAAGTAACCAAGGTTTAGCAAATAACACATAGACTAGATATCCTATATATAGTAGTACAACCTATCCAAATATTGAGAGAAAGATATGATGACAGAGGAAATTGAACATAAGCATGTGTATTAGTTATAAAAACACAGAGGGAACTAGGGAGACAGATGATGTAGGTAGAAGGGTAAGAAGAGGAGGGAGATACAAAGCAGATCTATTCAGAACTAGATTGATTTGATAACAAACATCAACATAACATAATCAGAGTCCTGAGCCCCTTATAAGCCTAACGGTTGATCACATATGTCTGAATCATAACTGCCATAACTAATTAAGTAACTCATACTCCCCTTTACATTTACATAACAACAGACCAGATAAAGTGAAAATTAGACTACAAGGAAACCTCAATGGAGAAGCTGAAAGAAGTATAATGCCAAAAAGGATAAAAGAGGAAGCTCACAATGACTTCATCAAGCAACTCGTACACGAGCACAAAGTTCTTTCTCAATGAGTCTTCACTTAGAACCCCAACGTAATCTTTGATTACACGAGCAATCCTTTGCAAAAGCTCCAATACAAAAGAAGGTGATATATTAATCCTTGTGGTTGCAACAAACAATAGCCCAACGACCTTCACATGAAAGTAGTTTACTCCATCCACATTCTATCAATGGACAACCCCCAGCCCCCGGGAAAAAAAAATGAAAAAAGGAAAAGAAAAAAAGACAGAAATAAAGGTTAGCATACTTTACCAGAGCAAGTGACAAAATTTAAATAAATTTTGAACAAAATTTCAAAATAATCAGAGCATAAAATCAATACTGGTGGTGGTAGATGGATCTAAGAGGCCAGGAAATAATTAGCATTATTGGCCATTTAATTTACCAGATGTCCGGAGTCTTCCTCCCCCGGGCCAAAAAAAAAAAAAAAAGAGAAAACAAAAGCGCAAGATGTTTACAAGGTATCCTTAAAGGTTCATATTGGCTCTCTTATCATGCTAATTGATGGGCAGGACATCTAAAGAGAGGATGTCTCATTGAAATCAAGTACCTTATCTAGTATGGAGAAAATTCGGTTTAGGGAAAACTAGATGATGCGAGTTTTAGTTAGTTATGCCGCAATTACCACTTGCGATTCCATTTTTTTCAAAGCCTAGTAGATATACACGACCTAATTTGGAAAGATAATACCTACAAAGACAGGCGGCGCTTCCTCTTTCCCATCATCTTTCCAAAATTTTACTTTACGGAAAAATATCTCTGCACTTCCCTTTTGCACTTCACCACGGTCTGCAATAAAAGAAATTTTTTTTTAAAAAAAAAGAAGAAGCAGAAATGGTTGCACGCCATGTGCAAAGGGTCTAGCTAAATAATCACAGACAACTTTTATGCGAATTGTTTCACTTGCAAAAATGTCCATAGAACCAACATAGTCATCCCTCACAAAAGCATTTGCAGATTAGAAACACTTAAATCATCCTAAGCTGCTTAATTCGCATAACAACACAAGAAATTACTGGGAGGACTGCGAAAGAGAGAAGCTAAAATGTGGAGAACAAACTACAAGATTTTGAATTGAGGTTACTTTTAAGGATTCCCCCACTCAAGTGGCGAGCATCAGCACAACAATGCCCGGCATTTTATAGAATTATAGCGAATATTCAATACTATAATGATATTGAATGCCTAAACAATTATAAGAGCAAAATGTAGCATCTTTTGCTAAGGTAAATAGATTGACGGAGCGTTGGCCCAAGAAGATGTCAATAGCAAGAACTTAGCTACATAACGTTCGAGTCATGGTTTCTTCGTTCGAAGTGATCAGCATGCAATCATAGTTGAAGTAAGATCTCGAAACATACAGATTGAGTTAGTAGTAATGTCGTTTCGGATCAGGAGATTCAAAATAAGTTCATCACAGATAGTGATGCAATTAGGAGAGAACACTGGATCAATCGGCATCATCAGATCCACAAGTGTAATAGAAAACGAAAACGCAAAGGACTAGTGTGGACACGTGAGAGGAAGCTTACAGTCTCGGAAGACGATGTTATCGCCACGCTGTGACAACACAAAGAACTGCGAGATCATTATTCCGTTTCCGTCGTCCCTGCGCGCCGGATGCACCTTTAGCAGGCGCCTTTGTCGATGGTTCTTTTCCTTTTGAGCACCTCATCATCTGTCAATATTTGTTACGGTTAGGGGCGCCAATGTTGATATTGTGGCCAAAGCCTCAAAAAAGTTTTTGGCCAACGATCGGCGTAAAGCCTCGATATTAATTTAAATGCACGTATCAACCAACTCTGAGGCGCCGTAATTTATAATTTCCTGTATAATTTTTTTGGGTACGATTTCTGTATAGTTATCAAAGGATCCTGCGTATTTACGTAATACGGCGGGAATAATAACTCGCAGATCCTCCATATGCAGACGTCACATGAACCAAACTATTTTGGCACTGGCAGGAGGATCCTCAAACAAAAACATTATTCTTTTTAACCAAAACTAAGGTCATTCTCTTTAATAACCCTCAAAAGAGCACCCTCACCTTTCTCATACATGGAAAAATTTAATCACGTCCTAATCCTGTTGCATTCACCTTATTTTGTTGACAAGAAAAATTAAAAACTAGTGCTATTTTTTTCATTACCTAAACTAAGTTCATTTCCTTTAATAACCCTAAAAACGGCACCCTGATTATCTCTTATATTCATGGAAAAATTTAATCACGTCCTAATCCTGTTGCATTCACCTTTCATCAAATTAGCGTTATTTTGTTGACGAAAATTAAAAATAAAAACCAGTGCTAATTTTATTTTATGATTAATATAATCTTTAATCTCTTAAATTTACTTTTTTGTACTTCAAATTTGTTCTCATTTTAATTTTAGTCTCTCAAAAAATAAAATAATTCAAGTTTTATTACATTATAAAGATCAATATTTAAAATAAAAAGAAACTTGAAAAATCAAAACTCATGACTTGAAACTGGATAAAACAAAACCAAAATAAAAAAGACAAATTTGAAAAACTAAAATTTATATTAACTTTTTATTTTATTACATTATTGCCTTCACCTGTGCGACAGGCCGATAGCCTCAGTAACAAAATCAAAAATTTACTAGGCCCGTAAGCCCCGATTTGTCTGCCCAGACTAGACTCGATAAGCCCAATTCTCTACCAGAACCTTCAAAACGCCGTTCCAGTATTTTTTTTAGAGTGTTTGACGACCCTCAAAATCACTTTTAAAAAGTACTTTTTCGTAAAACAAGGCAAACTCCTCTATATATTTACTTCGTAAACTGTAAAAACACTTTTAAAACCATAGTTTAGTTTCCATCCAAACACCCTTTGTCTCTGACCCCTCGGTTCTCACACGCACCCTATCCCCTCCATATGATATGACGCGTCCTCTACCGGTCATCATGGAGCTTAACAACCTCACTATTGAGAAGCGCATATGATGCCATCATCAAGCCATTACTTTCAGTGCTTTACTCATCACGATTATCAAACCATTAAAACTACGAAAAGGAAGCATCTTTTCTTTCTTCTTGCTACTTTAACCAGCTTTTCTTGAAAACACTTGCGATAACTTGGAAAAATAAAGAGAAAACGCAAATAAGCACTAACGATCAAAAAATGAGTTAACGGCTAATTGAGCAGACAACGTTGATGATGACGTAAATAGTGGGAATTGAGAAGTGAATGTAACATGCACACATCCAGGAACGATAGCCACCACGTACGGGGTTTCGATCGAGCAGCTTTTTCGTGTAGAACTGTGGAAAACGTACATGAAATGGGAAGCATGGAAAGTGCAAAGGAAACAGGAGGAAAATTTAAGAGCAAGACACGGCAATACAAACAGTTGGACAGGTTGGATGATCCAAAATGCAGTCCCAATGTAATGCAAGATGACCTGATTCCGTTTCATGTGAGGGTAAATAGTGTTGAAAGTTCAAATCTTTTCTATGCAACTCAAAAAGGACAACTAGTATTGTAAGCATAACATTCAAAAAAGGTTCCAAGAATTAAATAAAGGAATTATGAATGCCTTTACAAATGCATAGTACAATAAACAACCATGAGATATAAGATAGTGTATCCTGAATATCAACATGCTTTCTCAACTCGTCCCATACCTTGAGAAAACAAACAAGGAAGTGAAAGTTCAAGCTAGTCCAGATACAATCAAGAGCAATACAAAAAATTAAATCTACTAGTATTCTCACCACCAATTCCTCTATCTCCATAACCATCAGAAGCTTGGGTAATAGATGCATCAATCTTTTAGGAATGGCGACCCAGGAGGAGCAGTGAGACCAAGTTTACTCATCACTCTCATCCGCCGTTCACTCAATTCTTGAGACGTTCCTCCTGACGCTATTACCTGTGTACATTATGTAGGTGGGTCAATATACCTGACAGCAATAGAAATTGCCCGAATGAAATGAAAATAATAATAATAATTTGAACCCTTACAGTTACAGGGCTTTGGCTACTGAGGTTATTGTCATCCAACACCTCAATTTGATTTGAGGAATCTTCTATGTTCTGTGAAACGTTGAATTGCTTTAATCGTTTTGCTTTATCTTTGCCTGAGAATAATTTTCAAATGAAATGAGCGATGTGGAATGTTTAGCAAGTAGACGGAATCACACAAACAGAAATTGAATATCCGTTCCTAAAAGACGGAGCAGGGCATACGTTCCATTTTGGAGGATGACCCTGCCGTCTTTCATTCGCCAAACTATTTCGTCTGAGAGTTTTGCTGGATTATAGCCCTATCTATCTCTCTTTAGTGCAGTTGCTAGATATGACTAGAATGGGCACGTCAGTGACAGAGAACCCCCCCCCCTTCCTTCTTTTTCCTTTTTTCTCTTTCCCCCAAAATCCCTCACAAGGCGTTTCCTGTGGGGAAAAAGAATTCCACCCAAAAATGGTGGGGAAAAAAAACCCAGAAATGAACAAACCAGATAAGAAATGAGATGCCACATAAACCCTTCGTTGTTTATCCTACTTGATATGTTCCTAACTACTTGATAAAGAATATAAACGTCTATGCACCTGTGTTTGTAAACCAAAACCATAAGAAAAGGACTGCGGGAAATTGTCCAACCTTTAGTCTTTGATCCTGAATGCTTTGATTTGGAGGGTTTTGACCTAGGAAGGTCCTGTATCCATACACAGATGACAGCAGACAGTCAATAAAAAACAGTAAGGATATTTGCTGCCAAAAATGAGTGAGTTGGATGAATACCGCACTTTTAAGTTATGAACTCATAACAAGTAATCCAAATAAAGAAGATAGGGTTACCTTTTCAAGAGCTTTCTGAAAAATTTCCCGGTAAGAACCATTATGCTGCTCGAGTATCTGAAAGCTCATATATTTGTCATAAGTAGCACAATAGAATCATAACGGTTTACCGTCCTAAAAATAACAGGAGCAAAGTAGCATGTTACCAATGGAAATATGCATCAAATGCTTACCTTCTCAAACTCAGAACGACATTTAATTGGATCCACATATAAACTACAACAGGACAGAAGCATATCTTTACTTATGGTTGCAAAGTGTTAAGAACAAAATGCAACAGAGATGGTTAAAAAGCACTAACTATTCATAGCTCCCATACAGCCTAACACAAACTTTCCCTGCTGATTTTCCCCCAGGTCTAGCACTCTTCGCAACAGTATTTTTATCAACAACCTACCATACAGCAGTAGACGTGATAGCAATTAAATTATCAAGTATATTAATATTAGGCTCATGATCATGCATTTACAGATGTCTTTCACATACCTGTGCAGGCCACCAAGAGCCACCACGAAGTTTGACAAATATGACATCTCCCAATGCTACAGCATCAGTTGTAACTTGCTCTCTTCCTTCTCCAACGTTACTCCAAGCGTCGTCCATTTAAGTAACCTTGCACTGCATAATGTTAGCTCCAAGGTTTCGTTGGTTTTGATGGTCCCAAAGATTTCATTTTTAATTATGCACGAAACTCATCCTCTACCTTCGACGAAGAAAATTTAACTGAATCCTGAACCCAGATTAAGGAAGGCTTAATATGTCCGCTATAAGCGATCCACTTGTCTTCTGTAATCAATCTCGCCCATCATTCGTCGGGCACCGAACAGCTCACGTCAAGACAAGACCAAACAAACCGAATAGTGCGGGACGATTTGTTTTTCTTCGTAAATTTTAAAAACAAATATAAAGAACAGAACGTATGGTAGAAGCATTGAAATTTCGAGTTTCTTGAACTATTCACCCACGTCATTCGTCAAACATCAAATAGTGCATACCAGGATAAAGAAGCTAAATACAGTTAATATGTTGCGTCTGTCGTGTATACATACAAAGTCTACGGAGATTGAAGAACGTGGAACAGTGAATGGAAGAGAAGCCGCTGACCCAAAGACAAGCAGGAACGGAGCGAAGAGAATAGCAAGAGATCAGAGTAGCTCGCGCGCCCGTGCCGATTGAAAACGCCCCACACTGCAACACCACCAGTCCGTACCACTCCTATACTTTTTAGACTTTTCCCCTTTAGCATTTCAAATTTCAAATTAGCATTTCAAGGTATGACCCAGGCTGCGAAGTTATAGCGTGATTTTATGGCGCGGCAAAATTTATTAAAATATTTTTGTATTTGTTAATTCTTAAGGAAAACAAAAAGAAAACCTCTTTTCTTTTGAATTTTGATAAAACATTACCCAAAAAAAAGGACTGTATTCTTACATAATTATTTAATATTTAATACCTAGAACTACTGTGTACTGTTGAATCCATTCTGAATAGCCAAGGGAATTATATTTTTGAACAAGGAACTTATTTAGAGCACAATATTATAGTCTCCATCCTGTTTTATTTTAATATAAAAACTCCCTTTTTATTATGGAAAATTGCACTTCCAGTCTATTAAAAACTCTTGGTAACAGTTCCTAGGAGGATTCATAAAATAATATTAATGCTGTTGTTAATATAAAAATTAGTTAAAAATTTGATTTAATCTAAAATATAAAACCTCAATCTATCTTGTTCTCTAAATTTGTAATTTACTCTCTAAAATATCCTATTAATTAAAGATATCAAGGGTTTCCATCTAAGGATATGATTAAAAAAATACTTTAAAAAATAATTCGTATTTGTGATAAAATACTAACTTATCCATCACCAAAGACAAATACCAACTTATTTAATTTTTTTAATCTACTTAAATTAGTTAGGTAGTTCTTATATTAAAAACTAGGTATAGTAGTACTCATTGAAAAAAAAATATATTAGCAAAAATCATGTTTTCTACTACTTCCAGTCCTAATTATAAGAGCTAGTTGACTAATTTAAGGAGATTAAGAAAGTAAATTAAGTTAGCTATTTATAATAAATATGCGTTATTTTTCTTAAAATATCCTTACTAATTAAGTTTATTGGTTAGAACTACCATTATTAAAAGGACAAAGTATGAATAACGCATAAATATAAGAGACAAAATAGATTAGGGTTTTTAATTAGGACCAAAATAAAAACTAAATAAGATCTTATATTAAAGATCGGAAGCAGTAATTTATTTTAATTTTACTTAATCCATAAATCATTAAGTCTCTCCGCACTTTTGCATTTGAAAGTATAAAATGCTAAAATTATTAAAAGCATGTGCATTAGATTTTCTTGATAACATGCAAAAATGATTTTTCAATAATATTTATGCTAAGATGTACTTTAATTAATTCAAGCATGTGATTATTACTGAGGAAGAAAGAATTTTAAAAATAGAGGGATGATTACTTTTTTTTTTTTGGTATACGAGATGATTACTTTTATTTTAAAAGAGGCCTCCCCAAGCTTTTGTCAAAATGAAAAGTCTACTAACTCAACCATATACTTAGGAGTGTTTGGATGAAACCAAATTATGATTTGAAAAATAATTTCTAGAAAATAGATTCTTAGAAGAATAGATTTTGTGAAAAAATGATTCTGATAAAGTAAGAGTATTTGGATAGTTGTTATTAGAAGAACTTTTTATATGTACAAATTACTAAAAAAAGTATAAGTTAATATGACAATTACATAAAAAATAAATTTTATAATATATTTTAATTTGAAAGAATAAAATTGTTAATAATATATTTTTTACCAACATAATTAATAATATATAAGATAATATAATTAATAAATAATTAATATGTGTATATATATTTATAAAATATAACATTAAATATGTTTATTAAAAAATAATTGATAAGTGTTAAAGTCATATTATCATTAAAATCTACTCTGACAAACACTCTCCAATTTGAGTCAGAAACAGAATATATTTACTCCTTCTAAAACTATGGTTTTTTTAAAATTTTTCCTATTTAGGGTTTAGAGAAGACACCCAAACAGGCTCTTACTCTGATAAAATTCTACGGTGAAATTGACTTAACCCATAGGTCTGATTACAGTAATAGAAACAAGAGATTGCATTGTTGTGGGATCATCGCAAGGCATTCGCAAATATAATGCACTACCTTCAGTTTTTAACATAAAAACTTACTTAACTTTTATTTTAATTATAAATATAAAATCCCAATTCATCTTATTTTTTATATTTATTTATTATTTTTTAAATAATTATTATAATAATGATAATTATAACCAATACGTTTGATTAACAAGATTATTTTAAAAACAAACAATACTTATGTATTATAAATAACTAATTTAAATTATTTTATTAGTCTAATCAAATTAACCAACTAACTCTTACTACCTCCGGTCTTTAATATAAGACCCCGTTTGACTTTTAGTTTGGTCCTAATTATAAGACCCAATCTATTTTGTCTCTCATATTTATGCATTTTTTCCCAAGATAGTCCTTCTAATAATGATAGTTCTAACCAACACACTTAATTAGCAAGGATATTTTAGGAATGACAACATTTATTTGTTACAAATAACTAACTTAACTTACTTCCTTAATCTCCTCAAATTAGTCAACTGAGTCTTATAATTAGGACCGGAGGTAGTATATTAAAAAGATAAGAAAATATCCTATTTTGCCCGAAAACAAATGTGACCCTCGACATCATCAGATCCCAACATGGGACGACAACTATTCCAGAGCTTGAATAATCACGTAATGGGAGCAATACATAAACTACTAAAAAAATGTTTGAACAGAATCATAATTATAATTTTAAAAGTGCTTTTACGACGTACGAAATAAATATATTGATAAATTTATCTTGATTTATGAAAAAATGTTTTTCAGAAATACTTCTAGTATCACCCAAACAACTCCTTAGTTGGTGCAGTAGCTCGCTGAAACATTGAATACCAGAGCAACGGATACCGCTCTACACTCCGCTGCATTCTAAATTTCTTGACGCACCACATACGCTCATGCTAGACAGCCAACCAACATAAATAGGCGACTAGCGTCCAATTTTAGCCCCAAACAGTTCCAGGCAATCTCAACACTAACAATTTGTGCAAATTAAGGACGAACAGGCAATTCAAATTGCCCTGGAGGTACGAGCCCTTGGTACTGATTGGAGCTGAATCAAGTTACCCATGTATCATGCTTGTTCCCAGCTTTTATCTCTAATTAACAAAGTTGAAAAGCTTATAAAGCACTTCTTCATGGAAAAAGAGACTATGAACTATGAAAATTGGTGTGGTTGTCCTCTTCGCCGGTGAGCAACCTCACTGACGTAAGCCCCGAGGTGCCCCCCCCCCCTCTTTCTTTTTTGTGAATAAAAGGGATAGATTTTTTTCTTTTTTGGGAGAAAATAAAAAAGGAGGGATTTGAGTTGTGAGAAGAGAAGAGAAAACCATAAAGCTGAAATTTCGAGTGCGCTTTAACCACTAAATATTAGGAATGCCAGAAAGGCATGGACATTTTTCAAAGAAATTTGAAGAGTCCAGTTTTAGATGGGAAAACAAACTTCACAATGCATAATCGAAGTAAATTGTGCAAACGTCCTAATGTTTTTTACAAGCAGCACAGTAAGGAAATAATGTTTTCGAAATTCATTTAGGCTAAAAGTCATCAGGAATAATCTTGTAAATCTGCGTTTAACTGAGATAAACTAATGACACGGAGCTTCTGCTAATCCTCCAACTGAAACAACTCTAATAGATAGTACATCTACAGAGTCACCTCAAGAATCAACCATGAGGCAGTCAGTGAAGAAAAACATCTAAATATTCAGATACAATCGGGAGGAAACTGGACAAAACTAGCAGTACTTACAAATTTTTCAGCCCAGCAGCTTCGGCCTTCCGTCTTCAAACCTAAGAAATTAACAATTCAACAAAAGTTAACCAGATCCGTAGTTGAGAGAAGACCCGAATGCGTTTCAATTGCACCCAAAAAAACTCAAATCTCAAACCCCTATCATGCCGGCTAAGGATTTTTCCGAGGCCTTCCTCGTTTCCGCTTAACAAAACCCAACCCTGAAGCAGTCCCATTCGAGACAACCGACGTCGCCCTCCTAGAAGCCGCAGAGATTGGGGCCGCCGGCGGTTGCCCGTTATGCATACCATTCTCTACCGGCGCAGTTGAGACCGGTGGTGGCGAATTGAGGGTGGATGGCACACCCGACTTGCCACCCGTATTACCGACAAAGAATCCCATCGGAAAGAAACCCCAACAACAATGATAAGCATCTTGTCCCGGCACAAGAGGCGGCAAAGATGGAATAGAAACACCATGGAAAGACTTCTCGCAGTTCTGGCACCTCAAACAACAATTCTCATAAATCTTAGGGTACTCGTATATATAGTAACAGTACGGGCATGTCGTCCAGAAGGTCGGCCTCCGCCCCGGGTTCTCATCCCCTTCTTCCTCCCTCGCGGCGTTGCCACCATTCCACGGATCATGACCTTGACTCCGTTCACTGGGCCCAGGTCCACCCCTACGAACCGGCAATTTTTCTTGTTGAACCCAGCTGGGCATACTCAAGTCTACCCTGGTAAAGAAGCTGAGCTCCTTGTCGAAGTGTGCCTTCTTAGTCTGGTCCGATAGCACGGCCCATGCCTCGGCAACGAGCCTGAAAGCATGATCGGCCAGAGAGAACCTGTTCTTGTCCGGGTGAAGGAGAAGCGCGAGCCGACGATACTGTTTTTTGATGAGATCGAAATCGTTGGATCGACGATCCACCTGAAGAATCGCGTACCAGTCGTGGTGATTGTTGACGCGTTTATCCGCCGCGAGAAGCACGTCGATGACGGCTAAGATCTGATCGGAACCTTCCAGAAGCGGTTCGGCTTCCTGAGCTAAAATGGCAAAGTCCCTTGAGCCATTGAGATCCCGGTTCTGTAAGAGTTTTTCGGCGAGCCCAAGCAGCCGCTCGGCTTCCATTCTGCTAGCGTCCATTTCTTTCGACGGGACCGCGCGAGGAGAGAAATCCGGGAATCTCGAATTGCAGGATGGAGTTTTAAACCAGAGCGGAACCCTACTGGATTTTGTTGGGACTGGGATTTTGTCCTAACTCCTAACCCGCACAAACTGCACAAAAATATTAAACATGTGCTCCTTACACTTTGCATAATTTGTAATTTGGTCCATGTACTTTTTATTCTTCTCAAACGACTCTTTGAAATCTGCTTCCGTGGACACTGTAATCCTTGGACTATCTAAATTCCAAACATTTGTAATTTGCTAAACTCGTTCCTGAGATCGGCCGTGGGCAAGACAGCATCAACTTGAAGTTATGGCAAACGGAACACATGCTTTCAGACTTGACGAAGCAAAACTCGGGAGGGGCGACTGTGAGCAGCCCCAAGGACGAACATAACCGACAACACTTCAACACACAGCTTTGGCAAATGGCTTGACTCACTCTGTACTTGCGTGAGAGGGTCCACCCCATCATCTTGGGGAGAAATATTATGATGGCCCAAGTAAACAGAGTCGAGTATTATCAAACAGAGGGCTGACCTGGCGGCCCAAATAAAACATCTTTACGGATCCTCTTATTCGCTCGTAAAATTGAAGGAACGTGTCCCTCAAATATACGTCTGCTTTAGAACAAGTCAATGCTGGTCAAAAAGTCAATCAAGTCAAAGATGCATTATTTGGGTATATATCCCTGGGCACACGTCTTAGAATGCCCATAAATTCCACTACCTCTTCCTTTTGTTCTTTTTTTTTTTTTGGGCCAATTCTTCCTTTTGTTATTACTACTACCTGCTGTATGCATTAATACGCAGAGGATAAAACCACAATCGTTCATAGAATAGAAGCTTTATTCCGCGCGTCGACCGTCTTGCTGGTTGAGCAGTCCAATGGCCTGTTTAACTCTTCATCTCCAAAGAGCTGTGGTGTTTCGTGTTTGCTGAGGCGTGTCCACCCAATTCGCCCACCTGCCAGCAAATTGGATATGTAGCCCTCCTCTTCTCCCTGCGGATGGAGCGTTTAAAAACAAAGTTGACGGGACCTTGGCTCACTGGTCTCGCGTACGTTCCTTTCGACAACAATAATTAAACCCACTATAAAGAGGCGCATAGGGAAGGCTGAAAGTTACTGCTGGCACTATTCGGGAACATTTTCATTCACTGATGGTTACTTGAAAAGGGTTCATGTTAATATGTCCTTGATCTTGATATATCAATCACTTTTTCAAAAAAGGTTTATATATGAGTTAAAATAATATTTTTTACATATTTATATTATATGTTTTAAAATTATTTTTAAAATTATAATTTGGTTTTCCCTGAGCACTTCATTAGTTTTATGGAAAATTATTATTGTTGTCCGAATACATCTGCCTTGCATTATTATACATGATTCAACTTTTGATATAGATTCTCCATTGCATATTATTAGCTTCAGTAATTAATATAAGAAATAGTTATTTAATTTTAAATGAATTAAAAAAATTAAAAAATTAGTTATTTATAATACATAAGTGTTATTTTTTAAAAAAATATTCTATACTAATCAAATGTGCTAATTATAACTATTCATCTAGTTCTTAATGTAGAATCTAATTTAAAAGTTGACATTGATCCTATACGTAAGATCTATTTCAAATGTTTATCAATCTTTTTTCAAATTAACCTTATTGATATTTTTTCAATAATTTAATTAGGATATTTTAGAAAAGATGTATTATATTAACTATTTTAATTTACTTCTTTAAATTATTCAAATTAGTTAATTTGGTTTTACAGTAAGGACCAAAGGAATATCATCTGATGAAACACTTAACATGTGTAATCACTGTAAAGACTTTCAATTTGATCATAAATATAAGACATAAATTCACTTTGTCTCATATATTTATCTTTTTTCCTTCACAAAGTAGCTACACGCGTTAAATATTTTATCAAATAATAATTCTAACTAATAATACACATGATTAATAATAATATTTTCAAAATAATAATATTTATTTATTACAAATAATTAATTTAAATAATTTTTTAATCTATTCAGATAAATCACTCAACTCTTATATTAACTACTGAGAGTATAACGTAATAAAAAGCATGACAAACTGATTCCACACAGCGTTAGGAAATTATCTATAAATTTAACATGAAAATCAGACCAGATAGTCACGAGCAATCACCTTTATAGATAAGAGAACTAGCCTCATCAGTGCTATGACAACGGTAAACTAATCAATCAAGTTCGGGGAAGATGTCCCTTAATCATGCGAGAAATTAGTTCCTGGAGCTTTATAAACTAGCCGATGAAACTAAACCATACAGACGTCGAAAATCTGGGCTCGTTGTCTATGTAATATAGCTAGCGTGTTGTTTTTGTTTTTTGGATACATATCCAGTATACTGTACTACCCCTGGTCCTATTTATGAAATTTTATTTGTAAACTGCAAATCTACAGATGGGGTCAGAGGTAATACTACGTAATTTGACATGACAGTCTTCCACAAGAAGTAAATAAAAACTTTGAGAGTCCTGTAACAATTAACACCGCAGGTTGTACCACGCAGTTTAACATGACAGTCTCCCACAAGAAGTAGATGAAAATGTTGGGTCTGGAAATATTTTAATAAGCCTAATTATGATCAGGACCGGAAAATATCATACGGATGGCTTTGGATGGATTCGGACGCACATCTCCTCCACAAAGGGCCAATCCCAACGTTCTGCGTTTGAAACCAATCCCATCGTACGTTAATCCCAGTATTATTTATGATTTTTAATAAGACTTTTGTCTTATTTGCTTTAGTTATTTTTTTTCGGCCGGGAATTTACTTTGGTTACCTAAACAATGAACCCTGGCCACATAAATAATCTAGGCACGGGACTTTATGAAATCAGCTGCATATAATGACAAAGAATATAAATGAATGAATATCCCTCTCCACCAACCGGGCCCATAGCTGATATACGGCATTGAACTTTCATCCTCAATATGCCTCATAGTGTAACCATAATAATTGTAATAATCAACGTAAGGAGTAAGGACGGACAGCTAGCGTAAAGAGGGTCATTATCGAAATGAAATGAGCGCAGCTGGAAAACGGGGCACGATTTGATGTACGGACTACGGAAGAAAGTTGACAAAGATAAAGAGAGTTATTATCTAGAGAAAAAAGCAGCATATTTCACCATCTCTCTGTGATCATCATATACTACCTTCTATCCTAATTAGGACACTTTATTTATATCTTTTATTTTAATTATAAAATCTCGTTTAAAATTTATAAATTATTTTTAATTTGATTTTAAATATAAATTCCACTCTGTTTTGTTTCTTATATTTATTTGTTTTTTTAGGGTAGTCATAGATTAAAGTTTTATCAAACATTAAAACCAATACACTTGATCAATAAGAGCATTTTAAAAAAGACATCACCTATCTATTACAAATAACTAGCTTCTTAAATCTATTCAAATTAATAACTAACTTTATATATATATATAAAAGATCAAGGGAAGGTAATATATCGCTACTACCTCTGATCCTTAATATAAGAGCTAATTAATTAACTTGAATAGGTTAATAAAACTAGTTAAGTTGGTTATTTGTAATAAATAAGTGTTATCTTGCCTAACATATCCTTACTAATCAAATGTATCGGTTAGAACTACTATTATTACAAAAACTATCTCTAAAACAAATAATAAATATAAGAGATAAAGTAAATTAAAACCTTATATTTAGGAACAAAATAAAAGTTAAACAAATACTTATATTAAAAACTGAAAGTATTTGGCCAAAAAAAGATTGGAAGTAGTACTACCTCAAATCCTTAATATAAGACATTGTTTGACTTTTATTTTAGTCATAAATATAAGACCTCAATCCACTTTGTCTCTCATATTTATGCATTTTTTCTAAGGTAGTTATCATAATAATGATAGTTCCAACCAATACATTTGATTAGTAAGGATATTTTAGGAAAGACAACACCTATTTGTTATAAATAACTAATTTAATTTTTTTTAATATCATCAAATTAGTTAACTAATTTTTATAATTAGAATCAAGATGGCACTAATTAACCGCAGTCTTGTTCTCTCTGTATCTTAACTACATTTGGCTATCTTAAGTTCCTAGCCAAGATGTAATCAAGTTCCAGGTGAAAAAAAACCAAGATGTAAGACTTGTTTGGATTGATTTATAAGTAGTTTTTTAAACATGATTTACGAAATACGAGGTAAGTATGTGAGGAGAGTTTTATCTCGATTTACATGAACTTGTTTAAAAGCTCGTTTTGAACGGAGCTCTAAACAAGCCCATAATAATGTCATCAGGAGACAAGTCCCGTCCCCGCCCACCCTTTAGCTATAAGAAGGAAAGCTTCCTCTTTCCTTTCTCGAAAAACCACCATTTCCGCGTAGGTCTCTCTCCCCTTCTCTCCTGTGCATCGCCTAATACTTAACTCCTGTTCCTGATATAATATTATTTTCTTCTCTGGGTGGATTATTTTCTCAACTTGCTCTTCTATTTTTGTTTATTTTAGCTTTCAATAACCGAGGTCCGCAGCAGTTAGCTCGCAAGGTCAAAGAAACTAAAATCAAAACCCCACAAGTCAAAGTAAGCTCCCATGTATAAGATTCCTCTTTGTCCGTAAGCTTTTCTGGGCTGGTTCTTTCCCAGATCTGGAACTCGGTGGTTCATATGTTAGGGTTTCATAATTTTATGCTATTTTTTAAAGCTTTCGTTTTTAAGTTATAACTCGCATATGTCTCTGAGACGTGTATGTGAGAACGTACACGTATGAACAGTAAGAGACGCTTGATGACCTTATTTTTCTGCAGAAGGGGAAAAGAAATGGTGAGGAAGAAGATCAAGATTAGGAAAATCGACAACATAACGGCGAGGCAGGTGACATTCTCAAAGAGGAGGCGAGGGCTCATCAAGAAAGCTCAAGAGCTAGCTGTTCTCTGCGATGCTGAGGTTGGTCTCATTATTTTCTCTGCTACAGGAAAGCTCTATGATTATTCCAGCTCCAGGTATATATTTGCGCTGTTCTCACTTCTCTCAGTTCTCTCTCTTTTCAGTACTTTAGCTTATATATCTAGCATCAGTAACTGGGGATGTTATGAGCCATGAGCCCGTGAGTGTTTAGCGACTGTGTAATGAAGTTCTTAAAGACTGTTTTTCCCTCCCTAATTTTATGCTGAATGAACCAAGTGCATATTAAGTGCGTATTCACGGAGAGTGGAGAGTACGGACCAGATCTTACCTCGTATCCCTATTTTCTTTATACGAAAATGTTATAATAGATAGTTATCATGTATTCTAGTTATAGATAAGAAAGAAATTATTGATCATGAAGAAGAGCTTTATGTATATATGTTACTCTTCGGCGGCTTTCACAACTAAACATCTACCACGTCTTTGAAAAAGGCTGGGGGGAAGATGAGACACCCCCAGCCCTAGCAATTAATGCTGGCAACCTTAAGAGCGTTACTACGGCGGGTGCCAAGTTATCCGGATATAAGTTATTTTCTAACACGTGATTTACATTTCTGAAGTTATTAATGCGGGAAACCTTAATTACTGTGTGATGAAGAAACATATATCTCGCGCGCGCGTAGATTGGTAATGCCTCAACTTGTCATTAATGAACTGACTAATTTAACCATACAGATAAGAGCATAGCAACTTTTAGAAATATCTACTTAGTAATTGTCTTTATGTAACTCTATCAGGATACCAACTTTGTCCGCCTGGTAGCGATCGATGGCTGCCGATTAGTTGGCTGAGTTGAAAATATACGAGAGATTTAGCTATCTATCTTGTAAATTGCACGTATATATTTTACTCGCACGCTCACTTGAAATTAAAGATCGATATGTTGAGTGAGTGAGTAATGTTTATGAGCTGAAGAGTCTGACTTCTTTGTTACAAAATGAATCTATCTGGTATATTGTCACACGTCTCACTTCATTCTTTTCTTTGCAGTATCGTTCTTGAACTCGCTCTTAAAATTGAATTGTCATTATTGGTGCTATTTATCTATATGTTCATTTATCATTACTGATGTTACATAGGGTCATTCACATCTAGCTACCTGCATACGTCATTCTGCGGCACAGACATAGATAATTCCTTGTTTCTCCTTGCAAGTGTATTTTGACAAACATGGTGACCTAACGAAATATATGTGTGAGGTGCCAGCTTCTGTGTGGTATTATTGTATGGTGCTTTTGTTTTGTTTTGTTTTGTTCACATGGGTGTCAAATTGAGAAGATAACTACTGAAATGTATATCGTATTGTGATAAATTGAAATTCCTGCATATTGAAAGCTGCTGCTTCCAGCAGTGTCAGGTGACAAAAATCTTAACAACCTAAAATCGTTTAGAAGTGACAGATAATCGTTAAATAATTGATGATTTCAAGTATTATGTTATAATTAAATTGATTTAATCTTGCGACTTACATTATTTTTTGGCTCTTTCTTTTGTCAATAGCATAAAGGACATAGTTACAAGGTATAATCTGCACTCTCATGGCACTAATCCAGTGGACTGTCATTCCCTAGAGTTGCAGGTATAGCAAGAAATTATTAAGGCTTGTCGTTTTTCGATTTGTAATTATAAAATTGAAAAGTCATGAGATGTGATGTAAGTTAAAAGCAAAGTCAATTTTCTTTTCTGTTCCTTATTGTGTTCTCATGTTCCTCAAATATGCAATGATTGGTCTTTTTTTAATCTTGTTTCGGATCCAGAACAGCAGTGACAGCAGATTGAGTAACGAGATAGCTCATAAAACCCACGAACTTCGGTATCTGAAAATCTTCCAATTTTCTCGATTAAAATAACTTAAACGTCATTTATTCAAAACTCCAATTTCTTCCATATTTTAATATTGATCAGGCAGCTGAAGGGTGAGGATCTTGAAGGACTTGACCTCGATGAATTGCAGAAGCTGGAGAAAAAGCTTGACGTAGGACTCACTCGCGTGAATCAGATTATGGTATGTGTGTGTGTGTAAGCATCTCCACCTCATTTGAACGCTAATCTCTATTCCATACATGTATGTATTCTAACACATGACACAATAATTGCATTTAGGATAAGCGGAATATGAGTGAAAGGGCTGAACTTCAGATGGAGGTTTGTCCAAATATGTAGCTTCATAAGGATCAAAGTTATAGTTCAATTGCAAATCAAAACAATTAATAGCACAGATCTCTGGTCTCCTTAAAGGATAATCTGCTTGCTAGTTCTAATAAAGTTGATAATTGTTATCTGCTTTTATGCGACTCCAAGTTTCTTACCATTCATTTTGTTCTTTGCGATCACGACATTCCTCGACTGCAGGTAGACGAGTTGGCCAAAGTGAACAGGCAGATAAAGCAGAAGGTAAATTGAGAATTAAGAGAACATTTTATATGGCTACGAGCGATATATATTATTATACGTGCCGTATTATCTCCTTCGAGTTTAATTTGCTGAGTTAAAAGCGGAGGGTCGCAGGTGGCTGTTATATGTAAAGGAAAAGACCCCATGATGATGAACTCAGATATGGGCACGCAGAAGGGTTTTTCGTCAAAAGCTGTGAATAATGGCTTACTTGTCGATGATGATTCCTCCAACATATCTCTGAGGTTAGGGTAAGTGACCTGATCCTTGGAACCTGACGTTATAAGTTCAAACTCTTCCCAAAAATCGTTCTTCTGTTTGTGTTAACATTCTCGTTTGGTTTTCTCAGGCTCCCCTTCTCTTGTTGAAGTTGAAGGATACGACATTTATGTCCTTGTCGTCTCGTTGAAAATCTTGTTCACTTGCCACTGGCTTTTGTTGGATGGTTATTTAATTATGAAGAACTGGATGTTTTTCATGGTTTGTTCTTATTTTTAAGTCCCTGACTAGTTCTTAGAAAGATTGAATCTGCTCCTTAAGTAAATAGGTCACTGATGGGTATGTTTGCTATTTCTCTACTTGTCTGATAGAAAAGAAAAGGTCATCCGTGTTGGCAACCCGGACAATTGAAAAGTTCTCAATATACTTGTTGATCATTTTTCCGAAATTTTATTCAAACACTCTTAATTGTGTCTATAAATCAATTTTAATAAGTTTTATTTAAATCTAAGGTTGATCCAGATACCAAAAAACCTTTGACGCTATTTACTTGCAATCTGTTTTGTAATAAATGTATTCCTGTGAGCAGCCGTCATTCTCTCTCTTCATCACCTGCATGACAAGCATGTTGTAAAGAAAATCAAACAAGGCCAGCAGATTTCTCCCTGACTATTTTAAGATTTAATCGCCGTTTGCTAAAAAATTAGATATTTCGTGTTATTATTCGTGCCCAGTGTTTGTGAAATTAGTCCTGTTTCGTTGGCTTGGTGCATCCTTGACTTCGCTGGACAGAGATCTGTTTCCTTGTGACAAACTGACAACCTTGCAGAGTTTGTTTGGTTTAATTTTTGCTGTCCGCGCAACATCTATTGTGAGTCTTTAATTTTAACTGACTCTTAATTTATCTGCAGCGTTCATACGTCTTCTATTGATAAAATATTATTACCTCGTGACTTTAATATATCTTCTAGTTTAATTTTTATTTTGATTTTAAATATAAGATTTTAATATATTTTGTCTCTTATATTTATATATAATTTTTTCAAGATCCTTTTTAATAATAATAATAATTTTAATTAATATATTTGAGGTTTGTTTGGAATGGTTTATAAATAACTTTTCAAATGTGATTTATAGAATACGAGGTAAGTATACGGAGGAATTTTATCTCAGTTTGTGTGAAAGTGCTTATAAGCACTTTTATAATGTTGATCCAAACAAGCTTTTGATTGTCAAGGATATTTTTAAAAAAATAACAAATATTTATTATAAATAATTAATTTAACTTATTTTTTTAATTTAATTAAATTAGTCAATTAATTTTTATGTTTAGGATCGTATATAGTATAATTTATTCACAAAAATTTTTTTACAGGGCTCGAGGGACTAATTTAAATGTTGTCATTTTCATGGTTGATTACGTTAGGATTAGAAGTGGAAAAAAAATAATCTTGTGCTAACTTTGAGTCTGGGATGAGCAATCAAAGGAGGTTTCCCCCACCCATTTAGGCAACGCTTCTGCCCACAGTTTGTGCTCCCTCAATAAGCTCCAAAATAAGCTCCTATTCGTAGCTTATTTCCAACCCATGATAAGCCAGCTTATTTTTCAATAAGCCCGATATATTTTAAGCTCTCCCAAACATCATCAGAATTTCTAATTGGGCTTATGCCCAAAATATAAGCAGCTTATGGGCTAATTTAAACCCTGCCAAACAGGCACGTCCGTTTGGATCAGCGATTGGAAAAGCAGCTTATAGAAAAAGTAGCTTATGAAAAAATGAAGTTGGTAAAAGTTAAATTGGATAAGCTGAATTGTGTTTGGATTGAAGTTCAGACAAGTTAGTTTACAAAAATGAGATTGGTAAAAGCTTGTTTGGATTATAGTTGAGTAAAAGTAATTTTGGCTAAAAAATTACTAAAATGGGCATGAATTTTAATAAATAATGAAACATGATGAAAAATTGATTTAAGACAATACAATAAAATTAAAATAAAATAATATGAAGAAATAAAATTTAATGAGTGGATTAAATTATAAAATTTTTAAAAAATCAAAAAATATTTGAAATATAAAGTGAAACATGAAAAAAAAAAAGAATTGAGATAATATAATGAAGAGGTGAAATTTAGAGTGAATTAAAATTGAAAAATTTAGAGAAATCATAAAAAATATTAGGCAAATAAAAGCAAAACATAATTTGAACGGATAAAACTGTTTTGAACTCCAATTAGTAGTATTGCGACAAAGTGAAATGAAATAATAATATTACATAATTAATTAATTGATAAGCTATGGATAATTTGGTCTCTGATTGCATCACGGACGCGATTCATATGAGATGAAGACTGTGAATTGACATTTGAAGGTGATGGTTGACTAGCTTCAGTCTAATCATGTTCGCCAATTATATTACCATCTTCAGCTTGTTGAAAATAGAAGTCAGAGCTTGAATGTCTCCTTATAAGGTTATGAATGGCCATTGTTGCACAAACCAAGTACACTTGTGTTTGGAAGTCGTAACTGCGCATATTTCGTAGGATTTGAATCTATTCTTCCAGACACCGAATGTTCTTTCTATTGTGCACCTTAAACTGGAATGATAATAATTGAAGGCTTCGTTACTATTTCGGAATCCTACTTGTCGTCGGAAGTCCGGAAGGTGGTAGCGCTCAGATCTGTATGGACCTAGATATCCATTTGGTGTTGGATATCCCGCATCAACCAAGTAATATTTCCCTAAAGATTCATGAAACAATTTCAGACGTTATGAAATGAATGAAAATATAAAATAATTAAAAACGTGCATGATTGGAACATATAAACATATACCTGGAGGTGGATGAGGGAAATTTAGAGATGAATTTGTAATAGCGCTGTCAAATATACGAGCATCATATGCAGATCCCTCCCATCCTGCCAAGACAAAAGTGAAATACATATCCCAATCACATACAGCCATGACATTTTGTGATGGATTTCCCTTTCTGCCAATAAATCTATCTCGTTTTGCAGCGGGGACAACACACGGTATGTGAGTACCATCAATTGCTCCGATTGCGTCCTTAAAAAATGGATAATAACGTGGATCATTCTCAATTTTTCTATGAGTTTCACGAAATGTAGGATCTACAGGTCGAATAAGTTCACTTGATAGGCTAAGGCAAGCTTGTAGTACATTGTGAAAGTGCCTACTTACAGTTTCCCCTGAACGTTGAAACGTTTCCTGGATCATCCTATTACATTGTCCATGTGCAATCGTATTTAACAACATCGCGACCACTTCTTCAATTCCTACGTACCTAGACTTTCGCAAACCATGTTCCTCCAATTTAGTACATAAGAGGTGGAAAACATGTTTATCCACTCTAAACATTTCAGGACATCGATCATCATGCCCATTCATAATGTCTTGTACCCATAAATTTCCTGTTTGCTCACTAGTTCTACAGGGTTGTTTAAACATATACATTTCACAGTAATGACCAACCAATGCACCTACTGCTTCATATTGTGTTAATTCCTCATTAATCATGGATAACCGTCTTGAATGGTCATCTTCATTCCACTGTGAATCATCATTCCAATCCCTCAAAGTATCTTCATTCCACAGTGAATCATCATTCCAATCCCTCAAAGTATTTTCATTCCACTGTGAATCATCATTCCAATCCCTCAAAGTATTTTCATTCCACTGTGAATCATCATTCCAATTAGCCATTTGGAGTTAACCCTGTAACTATAATAACAACAAAGTGTAAGCATTATAAGGACTACACTAAACCCCATGTAAATAATTTTCATACTACAAACAGAAAAACCAAACACATAGATGACAATTAGAAATTAGAATAAATATATTACATAGTCATTATTAAAGTTCCTACAACAAGTCACATCAGTTCAGGTTCAAACAGCAAACATTTCAAGTTAACAAGTGCAACAACTAAATCCTATTCTAGAGGTGCCTACTTCCATGTGTCTGGATCTTGTGTTGCCGGTATTAACCACGCCAACAACTTCCTTCTATCATGCATAAACTCCAAATAGGCTCGCCTAGCCCACCTCAACCGCGTAAGCATCTTGGCACATGCATAATATAGTTGATTGTCATCATTAAGCTCCTCAACGGTAGTCAGGTGTGCTAAAACCTTGTCAACTACTTGGGGATCTTCAACCAGTGCTGCTGCTCGCTTGTCAGAAGCAGCTGCTATAACACTAAGACTATCAGAAATTTTAGTAGACGCTGCAACTTTTTTCTTCTTCTTTACATCAGACGTCTCACCCCTCTTCCTCTTTCCATAGCTTCCTGAGCCACTTGGTCCAGTACTCGCAGGGGTTTTAAGTTGCAACCGGCAAAGTCATCGGTGAATCTTGCACTGGTTGTTGGGTCAACTCCAAAATTTTCATCTTCACTGTCCCCTGACCCTTCCTGTTGGTCCAGGCCAACTCTATAAACATCCTCCTCCTCTTCTATACCAGCCTGTGTCACAGGTGTCGACTGGGGCTGTGAGGCTGATGGTGCATACATATACTCTCCCGAAGCCACAACATCTTTGAATATTTTCTGCAGCTCTGATGCAAACATCAACCCCTGATATCTAAATTTCTTGAAATTAGGGTCAACCTACATTACATTAACATAATTAGGCAAAATCAAACAAAGTCGTAACGGATATTCAAAATTAAAACTCAACCAACGGAAATAATTACCAGTAATTTTCGTTGCCACCACTCATCGGAGGCCAAAATCCTATTTGTGGCTATATCATAACCAATCCCAGTCTCTCCAGACATCAGTTTATCCCACAATTTCCAATCTTTTCGCAATATATCAAATCTATTCTTCAATTGCCTTCTGTCATACATTCTCCCGCTCCTTTCTTGAAAGTTCTTTTCAATTTTTCCCCAACCAGGCCTTGTAAATGATGTTCCTTGTCGTTTCTTGTGCACTATTTGCTCAGCATAAACATCGATTAGAATCTTTGTCATGTAAGGATCCCATGTCGCTTTTCCCTTATCATTGTCCATTTCTTTATCTTTTTGATGGAAACAAAACTAACTGAATCAACCAAAACCCTAAATATGTAATAATGAAAGCCACATTATGTAATCACCAAACAAACATATATACTATTTTCTTAATATTATTGTAAATGCATTTGTTATCAAAACTCCAATTATTATTATGAAGTCGTCAAATATTTATTAACACATCATAATTGCAAAAACTGTTTTGCTTTCTTATTCAAAAACTCAATTAATCAATTGTTTTTCTTATTGTTTGAAAAAAAATTGTTCATCTTTCAATTAGAACTGCCATATTTTAACAGAAACTTAATTAATAACGACTTATTTAATAGAAATTTAATTAGGGAAGACAATTCAGTAGTTAATTACGTTATTAAAAACCAGCATTATAAGGACTAAAAAATTGTTATCAAATTACTTTCTTCAATCTATTTCACATAAAACCATTGAATGATCAGTGTAACACTCTCATATACACTTCAATCTATTTCACATAAAAAATGTTTTTTTGTACATTTTTCTTTCAAAATTCCAGGACCATTGCAACCGAATGATCAGTGTAACACTCTGATATACACATATACACAAGCTCATACGCACTTATACAATATCCAGAATGATCATCACGTTTTCACCACAAAAAAAAAGAATGATCATCACGTATACAAGCTCTACGTTCTGCTCCCCGTTAATTCACCTAAACCCACCAGCAAGCACAGCCACGCGACGTCTAAAAACCAGAAGGCAAACAATAAAATTATCCACCAGCCAGCAGGAACAGAGGACCACAAAACCACCAGCGAACAGAGGCTGGCGACCATGAAAATACCATGAAAATAAAAACAACTACCGGCCAGAAATAGAGCACCGCAACAAACCAGACGGAAAAAATAATAAACCGAACAGCGGCGACAGAGAACTCTTGACTTCCACCGGCGACAGCAAATCCAAGCAAGAATCAAACCAGAAAAGAAAGAAAAAATTTTACTCACCGAATGTTACAGATCAACCGAATTGAAGGCAGCCAGAGATAGATCCCACCGTGTATCAGACTCGCAAGACAAGATCCACGCACAGCTCGAAACCACAGGTAGACGGCGGCGACCTCAGTTGCAGACGGCGGCGACCTCAGTTGCAGACGGCGGGACCAGCTCGGACTTGCAAGGAAGAAGCACCTCTAGCCGACCACGGACACCTCACACCCACGACTCGAAGCGCACGACGATGACAACGCCATAACTCACGGCGACCAGAGAGGGACCTTCAGCGGGGCGACCTTCAGCTCACGGCGTGCGACTCCTCAGTGAAAAAGACACGAGTTGTGAGAGGAAAAGAAAAATGGGAGAGGAAAAAAAGGAACTGAGCATCTGACATGTAGGAACGGGCAAGAGAGAATCTCTTTTTTTTCCCCTGCTAAAAGCTCTTCTGGGCTAAGCATAAGCTCCTTCCTCTAGCTTATGATTCTTGGGCGTTCTATCAGGCTTTTTTTCTATAAGCCCAATTGATTTTAAGTGAAACCAAACAGGTCTTGCAACCCAGCTTATTTTTAAATTTAAGCTGACTTTAAGCTCATTTTAAGTGAATCCAAACAGGCACTTAATGTGCGGAATGGATAATATAATCTCTAATAGCGGGCTCTTTATCAAAATAACAGAAAACGAACAAACACTACGCATACTTAGATATAAATAATATTATTCAACATAATATTTATATTGATTTTAATATGATAATTTGCTCAAGGAACATAGTAGTCCTGAAAAGGAAGAAAATAAAAAAAATGGACAGAAAAATGTGATCAAAATAAAAAAGAATGTGAAGGTGGAAATAAGTGAGAATTATTGGCATGAAATTTAAATTTATAATACACCCAGATAGGCAAATACGCGCGCACACGGAGACATTGATCGACGAGGACCATGAAAGAAACGGCGGTTTGATCCGCTTGTAAATATAATAATGATTTTTTTGGCAACCATATTATTCATTATTTCGTTCCTTTCTTTTTATCCGTACTACAGTAGGTTGACGGGAGGAACGTTGAAGCTTCGTTTGGAGGTTTCGGAGAAGCGTTTTTTAATAATTGGTGAGATTTACCCATTTAGGGCACTCGCCAAAGGAGTCCAGAGTTCCTCCAGCTAGCTAGGATCTCTTTGCCCCCATTTCCCGGCTTTCGTGCCAACTCACTGAGTCCACTCAACTCGTCCGTGTGTGCCAGCCCTTGCCGTATCGGGGACGATGAACGAGTCTCCGCGCAGAGATCATGGAGTGTTTGATTTCAAGGAAGAAGACGAGATTGCTGACATGGCTACGGAGAAGCAGCTCAATAAATTCAATAACTCTTCCCTCGGTGATCAATCCGTTTTGAAGTACGAGTTTCTGGGATATGGTACGGCGATTTTCAAATTAATATTTTTTGTGTTAATATTACGTTCCTTCTGTAGCTGGGGTATCTCGATGTATCTGCCATGGTCTTCGGGAACTTTAGCCGAGGGATACCTAGAGGTTACTTAGTAATCCTGTGAGTTGTTTGGAGTCAATGGAGATGAGCGGGTTGGAATTTTTCTCCAAAATTGGTATTATCACTACCATTATGGCTTTATATACACACGCATACATGTATGTATATTTGTGCGTTAGTGTGTACGGGAATGCACATGTTTGTTGATTAAATGTCGATGCTTCCCTGAGAAAGGGGGCGCTGCCGCGCTGCTGTGTCGGAATTGAAAATTTATCGACTTCATGTACAGGTTATTGTTTGGTGTAGATGGGATCTGGTTATAAACGGCAGTGCATTAAGCAAGAAGCTGTGCTAATTTTTGCTTTTGCCTGGGTCACTGTTAACGTGGCTTCACAGGCTTAGTGAAAAATTTGAGGACGTAGTTTTTGCCAGTAAATTGCCCATAATATTTTGACAACTGTGTTCTAGGTTCTCTGCTTTAGGCATATGCAGAATGTCAGCTTTCATTGACTAAATTAACACTCTTAAGCATAGTTATATACTCTTCAATTCTTCAATTGACCTTCCGACTTTTCAGCTATTATCTAATGACCTAATCTTAGCGTTTAGGATAGACTAAATTGAGTTGAAGTCCATAGAATCAATAAGCTGATCACATATGATGCACTGATCGTCGTACATGTCAAACTGAATACTCTATTTTAACAATTGGAGTTATATAACTATGACGTGTCTGTAAACAATTTTGGTTTCTTTTAGAAAGAAGAAATGCTTCTATGAGATTTATCTATGCCAAGTTATGAAATTATCAGAGTTAAAAGGGCTCAGTATTTTAAGAATTCTAAAATTTGTGTTTTGATGATGCAATTTAAAAAATGGCAAGAGTTAACTACCAATTGGAGAACCTTTCACTTTGTCAGTTTTCAATTGGAGAACCTGATAGCAAAGAGCCAAAGATACAAGTAACTGTTCATATATTTTTGTTATTTGGAAGCACCTTGATGGGGATGGAGACTTTTATATTTAACCTTGAATTTAAATTAGATGAGCCAGGAAGGGGATACCTCTCATGGTTTCTATAGTGTGGTCAAGGAGTTAATTCCCTGAAGGTACAATTGGTTGACTCGGGATTAAGAATTCTCCTTAAAAAAAGGTTGAAATTTGAAATTGAAATAAGAAAAGAAGATATTTGAGGTTCATAGTCTTGCTCTTTTGGTTTGATTTTTTTTTTTTTTGCTCCTTTAAGTCTTCTCGTTTTGGTGAATTGCATTCAATCTTAAATGGTCTTTACAGTCTCCCCGGTGGACAAGGTCATTGTGAATGATCATGATGGTGGAAGTATCCCTAGTGTTGATTTTGATGGAATTCGTGGTGACTTTATCTCGGAAAAGGGTGTTTCAGACCCCACTTTGGGCCCATCAGAAGCAAAGTTTGATTATGAAGAGGATTCTGAGTTGGAAGCTTCCCAACAATCAAAAGATACAAGTGGTGTTGGACCTTCACCTGGGATGAGCCAAACGGATCCTGCCCTTTCAGGGTCCCCTTCCAGTGTACTGTAACTTTCATCCGTAACATTACGTCATAAAGGAATTTTTTTATTACGGAATTCATATTTATGTTTTAGACCTTTTCAGAACGGATCAGTTGGTGCTATATCAGAAGCCAATGAGTGTTTTACTGACAGTACTCCATCTACTCCTGTCTCCGGGAATACAGAGAATGGTGTATTTTATCATACCTGAACATATGATATTCATTAATGCCATTACATATGATTTAGAAACATTTTGTTTCATTACTCATTAAACTTTTTTAACAATTTCAGTTTCATTGAATGGCTGTGGATTGAACTGCTGCATAGAAGATTCTGACATGGTAACTTAACCTGCTTCCGTTAAAGAAATGGATTTCTGTAATGTTGAGGGACTCTTGATTTAGTACAGTTTTGGCTGTTCTTGTTCTGTCTTGTGCTTGCCATGCTATGAACTGGTTTGAGTCTCTGGCCTAAGTCACAATTGTTTATTGTTTTTCTTTCTCGATAATATAATATAAATAGAAGCTATTGAGGCTGCAAAATAAGTACTTTGTTAGCTCCATTGTACCTTTATATTCAAGTACTCTAGTACTGTTTTCCTTGTATATTGTGCTGACTGTTAATTTCATTTGTGCAATATTCAGGACGATGCAGATTTGGAAGTTGTTCTTCATCCTGATTACATCATATATCAGGATAATTATTATTTGGGGACAAAGTTAACATTTACTCATTGTGGCATCAAGATTAATTTTTCAACAGCATGTGGAAAGCAAGGGGCCTCCGACTTCGACTGGGCAATTGATGATGTTGTTGATATTAGGTGTAATTTGTTCCAAAGTGTGAGTTTAATAATCCAAATGAAACTTGGTGGAAATATTTATTTTTTAATGCTGCAGTTCCTGATGTTTACTTTGTTCAGAATGAAACTGTGATGATGAAGATTCGTGTAATTTCCAGCAGTGCATGCCTATCAAATAATGTTGACAGAACTGAAGGTCAGTGTTAAAATTTTGTTCATTGAGCATTTCTTTTAAAGGAAAAAAATCGTATAAGCCTTTCATTTTTGGATTATATCTAGTATTATATTATGAGCTCATGAAAGTTAATTATAGTATGCTTTCTTATATGATGCTTATTATAGTTGGATACCTATATTTTTGCTAGGCATTGAGGAATTGAAGGCTGTGCTTGCTGATTCCCATTGGTCCCCCAAACATGAGCAAATCACATCTCTTAATCTGAAATACTCGGCTGTTTGGAATGTTAATCTTGGGTAAGTCTTGAAATGATTTCTTTAATATCTTCCTTGATGTGTTAGCTATAAAGTTTTCGGTTAGGGTCATCTACTGGCTAAAGGTCTAATATATTGATATAGATTGGAACTGTAAACTTTTGATTGCATCATAAGCATCAACCAAACTGTGTTACTAGCAAAAATTGATTTGTATAAATTTTGATGTCATATTATTAATTTTTTTTTTTGAAGCACAGAATTTACTTATTGATTTTATATCTATATGTGGCAGTGAGGGAGGAAGCCTATTATTGACTGTGATGGATTACTGTCATTGTTTGTGGCTTTGTTCTCTTCCTGTTTCTTTGGTGTTCTAAATGCCTTATTGTGTCATTCGAATATTGTATATTTAATTAACTTCGTTTGTGTAGTGGGGATATGGAAGACGATGGAAACAATTTACATGAACCGAAGTTCTACTTCCCTAAGTAAGTAAAATCTATTTATTCCCTTTTTTCGTAATGCCACATATAAGTCATGATGACAACATTCCTTTTGAAAAATAGTTTCTGGCACTTTCCGGCTTCTTATTTCATCAACTTTTACATAATTTAGGCTTTCTGTAAGCCTCCCTTTATCATGTCAGCCGTTCGCTTAGTGGAAGGTGTTCATTTCCTTTGTTTTCTGAAGTGGCAAGTGAGTCATAAAAACAAGGACACTAACTAAAAATTACTTAGCCGTAGAATTGTGCTGAAACTTCTGGCTTAGGATGTTGCGGATATCCTTGGTATTTGTGTTCGAAAAGTGGGGTCGGAACGTGTTTTTCATGCTTAAAAGTAGAATCATGTACATCATTTATTGACATCAGTGAGTGTAAAATTACATTCTGTGCGCTGGGTCCTCTTTAATAAATTTTTTTTTTCCCTGTTAGAGGTGAATGCAAAAGCTCTTGATATCTTGTTTATGCCTGTTAAACATAAAATGCATTGCAGCCTAGTCTTGGTCTCCTGGCTTAAAGTGATACAATATTTCGCGAGCTGTGAGCTTCAAAATATGTATAGGGTATCAAATAGTCTTGTCAATCTGCATGCTCTGAAATCTAAAGCTTATATATCTTTCGCCCAAAAAAAAAAAAAAGTTCTAAAGATTACGTATGATAAAATCTAGAAGAGGCGAACAAAGTTTCGAAGTATACTCTACTAGTGATTGATGGACTTTGGTGCTTCTCATTTGTTCTTTCTTCGTTGTTTGTTCCGGTTAGAGCTCACTAATGTTGTGACTATGTGAAACAGTTTTGATGTGCCTTTTGATGAAGTTATTTATCCAAAAGGGGATCCGGATGCTGTTTCACTAAGCAAGAGAGATGTTGATCTATTACAACCAGACACGTTCATCAATGACACGATAATTGATTTCTACATCAAGTAAGTTTGCACTATGTATGATTTTGTATATCTTGCATATAATATCAAACGAGGTCATCAAACAGGACTTCTTGGTTAACAGTCTATCTAAAGATTTGGTTGTTGATACAACACAATGGTATTGTTTGATCCATGTAGTCATCCCGACCTAGTGGGATACGCCTTCTTCTTGTTGTTGCATATCAATATCGATCAGCTTATGATATAAATTCTATAGCAATTAGCATCAGTCACTAGTCATGAATATTGTGACTCATTCTTCAAACTGTGTGATGCAGTGAACTCACGTGCTTTATAAATTTACTAATCTATTTAGATATCCAATAGGATATGACTGTTTAAAACATACTTCCAATTTTCCACCTTGTTTTGTCCTTTTTACTTGCATATCATTCTCATCAATTCTAGTTATGTGAATAATTGATTTTCCTTTCCCTTTTGCTTGACCAAACTAAGGTGTAGTTATATGATGTTTATAAGATATGTATTGCAAATGAAGACAGATTGTATGTGAACATCTATGGGAAAGAAGATATAGATAAGTATCAAAGGGATTGATGACTGAAGGTTGATGTTGCAAATGTTTAAAATGTATTAAATAAATGTTCTTCATGCTATCCTGCTTAATACATCCTAGTCTTGAAGATGTTTTAAAAGTTTTATACATCTTTATTATGACAGATACCTGAAGAATCAGATAAAAGACGAGGAAAAGCATAGGTTCCATTTTTTCAATAGTTTTTTCTTTCGAAAGCTGGCTGATATGGATAAAAACCCATCAAGTGCTTCTGATGGCAAAGCAGCTTTTCTTCGTGTCCGTAAGTGGACAAGAAAAGTAAATTTATTTGAAAAGGATTATATCTTCATACCTGTAAACTTCAAGTAAGGTTTCTGTCATACTTCTGCATGCCTCTGGTTTTTTTTATCAGAATACTGGTGCTGATCAGCATTTACTTTGGGTTATAATGACAGTCTTCACTGGAGTCTTTTAGTTATTTGTCATCCTGGTGAAGCGGTTACTTTTAATGGTAAGTTCTTGGCTTGTGTAATTGCTGTCTTATGGATCTCTATTCTCAGATAATTATGTTATGAGTCATATTTCAGAGGAATGCCTGGATGAGTCGCTCAAAGTACCCTGTATACTGCATATGGATTCAATTAAAGGAAGCCATAGTGGTTTGCAAAACCTTGTACGTAGGTATGTTAGAGCTTCTTTTTTGTGCCTTTGGATTCTTTCCTTTGCCCTTGACTGAGAAAAGTTGGTGTCTGTGTGTGATTTTTAGGTGCTGCATATAAGAAAGGTATGCATGAGGAGCAGTTTTGATCTAAGAAAACAAAATTACAGAAAAATAAAGCAAAAATAAATGGAAAAAAGACAGTTAAACTGGCAACAAAGTTGCCCAGCCCCCTGTTTGTCCCAAAGAAACTTCCTTGAAATGCTTGAATGATCATTTAAAGAACCAAATTGATGTACATGTGGGTGCTGTCTTTTCCTTGCATTAATTAACTGTGTTTGATTAATAACCCTCAGTCTTTGGGTGGATAGTATAATCCATGTTTGTTTCTCGTATCTTCCCATTTGAACAAGGAACATGGTTAAGTTATATGTTGACTCTGTCTATTAAAATTGACAGTTATTTGTTGGAAGAATGGAAGGAGAGGCAAAAGGACAAATGGGATGAAGACCTTAAATCAAAATTCCTCAACATGCGTTTTCTCCCTCTTGCGGTATTGCCACTTATCATTTACCTGCATTTGAGAAAAATCATACAATTTGGCTAGTTTCTACAAATTTTGTTCTCTTTCAAAATTAGAAATGCATAGAAGCAACTGCAATAAATATGCTTATGATTTATTCTGAGATATTAAGGAAAACCTTTTTGTTCCATCTTCTTGAGGGTTTGTTTGTTGTTACTAATTTTTTGTTATTGAATCCCATGACAGTTGCCACAGCAAGAGAACTCGTATGATTGTGGCCTTTTTCTTCTACACTATCTAGAGCTCTTCCTGGCTGAAATTCCTGAAAATTTCAATCCACTTAAACTAACCAAGTTCTCTAACTTTGTAAGTGGCGTTCCATTTTTCTTTTTCTTGGGAGTTTTCCTTTACTGGAATTGTTTTCATTTTATATGCTTTCTGAGATTAAGTTGTGTAAACTTTTGATCATGAAATGTGTTTACTAAATTTTAGCTGTTGCTCACTGATTTGTCAGTATTTTATCTCTTTTAACATTTCCATGGAAACTATCACCTTTTTATTGATTTTTATGGTTTCTTATAGGATTTGAGTCATTTGACCTGACATGATAAAAAATTTTCCAGCTCAATATGCACTGGTTTCCACCTGCGGAGGCTTATCTTAAGCGAACTCTTATCCAAAGACTAATCTTTGAACTCTTGAAAGACCGCTGTAATGTCTCTGCCTCTGAATACAGTGATGGCCCCCATGATGTCCACTACTTAGGAAATAATGAAAACAGAACAGGAGTTCAGTGTCTTGAAAAGGGGTATAATTCTGCTGGTATCAATGGGCTGCCGACGACATCTCATGCTGCCGAGGGGATTGAGATCACTCTATTATCGTCATCATCATCTTTGGATCCTAATTCAGGAGTGGTTCTTAGGGAGCTTTTCGAGCCTGGAGCTACAGCAGAACTACTGGAACAATGCCAATCTTTTGATCATAGATCATCTGATTACCGTCTCAACAATCCAATGTTCCCAATAGAGGTGTCTTTCTTTTCCCTTTTTTATTGAGAGTGTGTGTGTGTGAGAGTGGTTTTGTGGGGGGTGGGAACGTTCGTGTATGTCTGTGTGTGCATTTGTGCTGTTGAAATTTATCAATTTTTTTCCTCGTCACCTTTAGTGTCCCCACGTGCTTCATTGGGGCATGGATGGTTCCCTCCCCCCAAATTAAAAGTGAGATTTTAAACGTCCGTGATTTGGAGACTTCAATGTCTGGCTTTCAATCTATGAGATGAGTATAAGCACGTCAAATTTCACATGTTTTCTACAAAATGGGTCTTACATTTAAGACTAGAGGAAGTATTTATTATTTACATTGATATTGCAATACTAACCTCTCCCTCCTCCTTTTTCTGTCTCTCTCTCTTTTTCCTTATATTTTTCACAGGAAGATACAGAAAAGCAGTTTATGTACCTGACAACACACGCTAATTACCAGCAAGTGGCGGCAATTTCACCAAGAACCTCTGAGCTGCCTTACTTATCTAGAGGCAGTGGAACGGAGATTTGTCATCAATCAGGGATTAATAGACAAGCAGAAGATGACAAGACTGGGCCTTCCCACGTTGCATCAGATTGTGCTTCTGATGATTCAGATGACGTTGGGGTTATTGAGAATTTTTCAGTTAGAAATGAAGTGGGGTCGTTTGAAGAAGATAAACCCGATGAAAACAATTATTCTTCCATGGGAAATCCTTATGGTTTAACGGAGATCACTGGTTCTGCTAACTTGTCCACATCTATTGTTGTGGAAAGTTCACGAGACTCTGATGTGATAAATAACAGCGACAAGGATGGAATTCTTCACTTGCATCAAGTTTCTGATAAAGTTGATGAGCTGCCTTACTTATCTAGAGGCAGTGGAACGGAGATTTGTCATCAATCAGGGATTAATAGACAAGCAGAAGATGACAAGACTGGGCCTTCCCACGTTGCATCAGATTGTGCTTCTGATGATTCAGATGACGTTGGGGTTATTGAGAATTTTTCAGTTAGAAATGAAGTGGGGTCGTTTGAAGAAGATAAACCCGATGAAAACAATTATTCTTCCATGGGAAATCCTTATGGTTTAACGGAGATCACTGGTTCTGCTAACTTGTCCACATCTATTGTTGTGGAAAGTTCACGAGACTCTGATGTGATAAATAACAGCGACAAGGATGGAATTCTTCACTTGCATCAAGTTTCTGATAAAGTTGATGAGAAGGTAACAGGTGATGGCCGGATGACTGATGAATTTTGTGAGGAACAGGGTGCAAAGAGGAGACGGCTTATGTCCCTGGAATGCGAAAGTGATTTCTTGGGAATCCCGACAAAAGAGTCCTCTTAGCATATGGATGTGAATGAATTCATTTTTTTCTTGGTGGTATTGGATGATTTGTAGGTTCTGCTTTGCCAAAGATGTGTATAGTTCTCCTGCTCTTCACCGGTCATTTCTCCCACTTACGTGTAAAAACATATGCTTCTTTAGATTGACTTCAATCTTAATAGATTTTTTGTTCAGAAAATCTCTTTTGCCGGTGTTTTCATGCATCCCAATTCCCAAGCATACGAGTATATTTTAACGTTGCCTTTTCTTTTTCCCTTCGGCCAAACAAATAAATTATTGGCAACTATCAATTTTTTCATGAAAGATTAAGTTTCTTCTTCTGAAAAATAAGTGTAAAAAAGTAACAATGATGGAACGGTAATTGATACCCCAAAAGCCTCTCGTTGTTTTGTGGATGCAGTTCTGATGTGTAGAAAATGTTGGGCCTTATTTGTGAGGGCTTATAATTACAGAATATGAGATGAATATATGAGGGGTGTTTTATTTCGTTTATGTAAAAGTAAAACATTCTTATTTATAAATATTTAAATAAGCAGATCCAAAAGATGCACTAGGAAAACGTGTGTAGATTGTTGACTTGATGTCTTTGGAGCTCAGGTTGGTTGTAGCAGTGATACTCCGGGTATAATGGAATTCGGTGTTTCTTTGCGCATTTGCATTGCAGGTTCATCCGTAAATCAATGTGCGCTTCCCAAATGGGCTGCTCTTGCTACATGGGCAGATGATGTATTAATTCAGAACGCTGATTTTAGTTATTTCATCAGAACATGTGAAGTGGTTGAAGCTGAATTATGGGCAATCTATAAGGGCTTGCAATTAGCTTGGGACTTGGGTTTAAAAAATGTGACGTTGGAAACGGATGCCCAGAATCTCATTCCGTTAATTCAAAGGAATGATGACTCTGCTTTGGATAGTCTCCTAAGTTGGCAGATTCAAAACCTTTTGGCTCGTCCTTGGCGTGTAGAGATTCAATACTTCAAGAGAAAGGAATAAAGTGGCTGATTTACTAGCTAAAAAAGGTTTACGTACCTCGTCTTTCTTGGACTCTTGTCCTCCGTGGTTAAGCTAAGTACTCTTGTTGCTGATGAGTCTATGGGATTCAATTTCCCTTTTGATTAATTGTTTGTAATTCCTGGGCCAAGCCCTCTCTCTTTGTAGTTAAAAGAAGAACGTTGATTCTAAAATCGGCAATCGATGGCAGAAAGGAAAAAACAGAATGAATGTAACTAGATTTTTTTTTTTTTTAAGTTTAGGATAAGTTATATTGTTTATAATTTATATATGTGGAAGTATGAAATTCAGCCCAACCTGATCAGATCCAGCGTGGCATGATCGGGAGGATATCACAGAGCGTCAGATGGAAGTGAGCATTTTGCAGCTTGGAGAAATAATGTGGTCACATGAACATTAATTATTTCAGAGTCAGAACAAATGGTACTAATATTTCTTTTAATTTTTAATATAAAAATTGATTGACTAATTTGAGTAAATTAAATAGATTAGATAAGTTAGTTATTTGTAATAAATAGATGTTATTTTTTTTAAAATATTCTTACTAATTAAGTATATTGGTTAGAATCACCATTATTGCAAGAACTATTTTAAAAAAATAATAAATATGAGAGGTAAAATATATTAGGGTTTTATATTTATGACTAAAATAAAAATAAAATGAACTCTTATATTAAGAATCCAAGATAGTAATACAGAAAAAAGTCAATGAAAAAAAGTACTTTAAAAAAGTTAAAACGCATGTCAAAAGAAAAATTAAAATGAAAGACAAGAAATTTTTGAAACTTACAATTTTGTTAGTGTGATTTTTCTTGAATCGCTGGAATTGCCGGGTTCAGCTTGTCTCCACTTCACTGCCTTTCCCGTTTGTTGCCTTCCGCTGCCACAAAACGCCAACGTCGTGGCCCAGAATGGAGAGATTAGGTGTGTGAATTAAATGAATCAAAAGAAATAAAAGTCGCAAGAGAGAGAAAAAATAACCAACCTGGCTTTTTTTTTTTCCGCTGGTGGATGTTTAATACCATTAGGAAATAAATAAAAAATTATTCTACTTTATTCAATTCACTATATTTAGTAAAAATTAAGGATTGACTATAAACTACTATCTCTAATCCTTAGTACAAAACACAGTTGAGTAATTTGGAGATATTGAAAAGGTTACTTAATTATTTTAAGACATTTATATTTATCGTTTTTATCTAAACTAATTCACTTCACTTATAAATTGATATATAACTTAATGATTCACCCAAATACTAGAGAGACCAGGTAGCATATATTATAATTAAGTAATTTAGTAATATTTTTAATCTCTCCAAATTAACCAATTAGTTAACTAAGTTTTGTATTAAGGACCAGAAAATAATAAATTTTTATGGTTTATGCTTTAATTTGTAAGACACTATAATATTTTTTTAAAAATAATTAATGTTTTTATTCTGAACAAAATTACTTAACTCTCAATGCTTCTCATCATTCAATATTTGTTAACTAATTCATGAGAATTAAATACACTAGCTTTTTAGCTTCCGTTTGATGCAAAAAAACAAGAAGAAGAAATGTTAAATAACTTTTATTTAGCTTCCGTTTATTTTTTTCTCCTCTTGCGTCCTTTGCTCCTTTTGATTCATTCAATTCACACGCTTAGTCTCTCCATTTTGACGCAAAACGTTGACGTTTTGTGAGCTCGGAGGGCAGCGAACGGGAGAGGCAGCAGAGACAAACCGAACCTGGAGTTGCCACCTTCGCCTGAACTCGGTGTCTGGTTTCTCTCAGTATCATTTTTCTCAGTATCCCTCAGAAGCTTTAAATTGTGTTCATCATTCGGTCTGAACAATCAGAAAAAATACACGTCATTTAACTTTTAAAATTGCTTCTCCATCGTCAGTTTTGATATAATCCTGACCGCCCCTTCAATTCCTCATTTCTGCCAAATCCCTGTCCATCTAAGAATGGAGCTTCCGTTTGCTTTTGTCTGGAAAATTTCGTTCCCTAGCCCTCCCTCTTCGAGTTTCCCTTTAATGCGTTCTTCACAGAACAGTTTGGGAATGGCTAAGCTTCTGAGAAAATACTTGCGCTTGACAAGTTTTATGCAGCATATGGGATGTGACAACTAGTGTGGAAATTTCATGGTTGGTACCTGATTCAAAGCCATGGGAACGGAAACGATGGGCACTCTCCGACAGTGTCCAATGGTGTCCAAGACTGAGTGATTTACAGAATGCTTGGTACCTGTCTAAGATTGAACAATTCCGGCGTTGCCCGGCGGTGGATGACGATGAGGGCTGTGCATTTCCGACTTCCTTCTCCGACCGCTGGGAATTTGGTTGCGAGATTGAATGGACGGTCAAGATTATGATACAATGGACGGTGGAGATGCAATTTTAAAAGCTTGATGATGTGTCTCTTTCTGACATGCCAAGATCAATTGGACGGACAGGATCAGCGACGCTGAGGGACACTGAGAGGAAAAGCCGCTGAGAGGATCTGCTTCCCCTGAACTCAGCTCCTTTTTTTCCACTTCCCAAATTTCATCCACAGTCCTGAAGGAGGGCTGAACTTCCTCTCGGTTGATCATCCCGGGGCCCCGGACGATCTAGAACAATTAAGTTATCGCTTCCTTGATTATGTAAAACTCTTCGTATGATTCATTGATCTAAAATTTTTTTGATTCCTATGGCAACAACAAGGCTTTTCTTGTACGATCAACTAAGCCACTCTCATAGAACCGCCTTTGCTGCGGTTTTCGTGATCTTGTTGCCGGTTTTTGTTCCCAATCTGTTCGGTCCTCTAGGTGGTGCGTCGCCTTCAATGTTCTCTGTAAGTGTCTATGTTCCTTTTCGCTCATTTTGATTAACTGAGTCGTGATTGACATGGGAATCGGTGGTGGGTGAATCGTGGAGGATGGTTTTGTCAGAGATTGCACTTGTGTGAGACCAAAAGGAAAGCTTGAATGAAACGCTTGGGGGCACGTAATTCGGTTTATCCATACACACAAACTCTTGGAGTAACTGCGATTCTTTAGTATCGCTGATGCTAACAAACAATAAAGACCATCCTTTTCAGAAAAGAAAAATCTTTCCGATTGCAGTTAAATGTTTGCCGCCAAGACTTAACTTTATAGTTTGGGTTCAGATGACGATAATTCAAGTTATCTACTGACATTTTTGCTATGCTATGTTCCCTCTTGTGTATGGATGCAAATACCGAATTTTTTAGTTGCCATTCTGAGTTACCGGGCAACTTGTCTTGACAAGAATGTGCAGATAATTTTGTTTTATGACTGTTTAATTTGTATATATATAGTTTCTAAGATGCGGCCATTGTGTTGCAGGAGTGGAATGCTCCAAAACCGATGCACGAAACTCTACTAGAGGGTGCTTTGCAGCGCCAAATTGTGGGTAAACATTAAATCTGAGCAAATTCATTATCAATTGTATTATCTTTCCTGATTTTCTCTTTTTTCCCTGTTTCAGTCTGTTGATCAACAAATCAGCCTCTGGTCTCCATTGGCCAGCGAGGGATGGACGCCCTGTAGTGAGTCTCCGAAATTACCTTGTAAGTTCGAATAGTGAACTGAAATACACGAACCTCCGTTTTTCTAACAATAATTCCTGTGGCGAATATATCTTCTGAAGTGGCGATTGTATTATTGTATTTTCTGTCAATAGGGTTGCTTTTTCACTTGTTCACTTCTTACCTTCCTGCAGCTAAACCTGAAAAGTCTCAGGGTTATATCCAGGTTTTCCTTGATGGAGGGTTGAACCAGCAGAAGATGGGGGTATGTATCTTTTGCAAGATGTAATTTAATCAAAATGATAGAGTATGTAAGGATAAGCAGTTTCTCCCATTTTTTTTGGTTGTTGTTGTGATCTAGATATCTGCCTTAGCAGTTGATCACCCATCTAATGTCCTCCCCTGGATGTTCATTTTAAAAGATTTGCGATGCTGTTGCTGTTGCTAAAATTTTGAATGCGACACTTTTAATTCCACATTTTGAAGTGAATCCTGTTTGGCAAGATTCAAGGTATTTCCTTAGTTTGCTATTGTGCAACTTTTATGTTCTTAATGAAAATTAGCCATTTCTGTGAAATTGTTATATTTCTACAGTTCATTTGCAGAAATATTTGACGTGGACCACTTCATTAATGCCCTTCATGATGATATAACTATAGTAAAAGAACTTCCCAGCGACTATTCTTGGAGCACAAGGGAATATTATGCCACGGGCATAAGGGATACCAGAATCAAAACAGCTCCAGTTCATGCTACTGCCGACTGGTATACAGAAAATGTCCTGCCCGTGCTTAAAAGGTATGCAAACTGCTGTTGCTAGATTCTTAATTTCTTTTTTCTTTTCAACTGAAGTCAGATTGTACGGCTATAGGAATTACATTAGTTGCGTTGGTACTTGTATTTACTCTGAATAGAATTGTCTCCAATGCCATGCATGGAGCCCATTACAAATGCATCACTATTCTTCAGCTCAGTGGCTTTTTGCAGATTTTGTAGATAGCAAGCTTTCTTCGATTTTATGATATTTGGTGCTGATGGTTACAGTAAATTCCTATATATAACTGACAGACCTCATATACGGAGAGGATGATTTTGAGAAAGGAGCTTCAATAGTTCTCCACGACCTTGTTCCTTGTAGTCAATTTTGATTTCCTAGAGGGCTGTTTTGTAGTCTCCTTTTTCTAATAATAGTTAAAAAAAGGAGCTTCAATGGTGGCCATGGAAAACACATTACCTTATCATAATTGTAACGTAATAAAGAAGCCTAGGCAGAAGTTTTGTGAACAGATATCATTTCAACTCATGAAAACCAAATGATGTTGTGCAGACGACGTATATTTCTCTTACAAATTGACGCACTGTCTTTGCATACAACCTTATTTTTAAATTGAAGGCTTTAACGCTAAATGTATCTCACAAGAACTAACTGAATGTGTTATTTAGAAGTCATATGAGACCCAAATTTTTTCTGTTGTAAATATTTTCTAGGATAAGCTTATAATTTTGTAGCCGCTTGCCATCCAACTATCTCTCGTCTTGATCATCTCCCACAACTTCCATCATCCAAGAATATCTCATATCCTAATGATAGCTGTTAAATTCTTACGAATTAGCAGCCAAGTAGAAACTGTGTCAAGCCCACAATTGATAGGCAAGTTTTATTCATTGGTCCTAACAGCTGTTATACAGTGTCATTGACTGTTATTAAATGTATAGGTAACATCAGAAAACTTCATGAAGAGATATAAGTATAATATAAATCATATTTGGGCTGGTGATATCATTCTTTTTGCTAAAAGAAATGGTGCAGATTTGAGATTTTTAGTATATATTCTGTCTGTTCTTCCTGAAATTATCTGTTATAAAAAAAATATTTTATGAGAGCACAAATAACTATCTGCTTCTAAGGACCATCTTTTCAATATTTGCACATTTTTAGGTATTCTTAAACACGAACATGATGATGATCTTTCACTCATGCAGTTATGGAATTGCTGCTATTGCACCATTCTCTCACCGTTTGACTTTTAACAACTTGCCACCAGACATCCAGCGTCTTCGTTGTAAGGTCAACTTTGAGGCTTTGGTTTTTGTTCCTCATATCAGGGAATTAGGAGAGACCATTGTTCATCGTCTTCGCCATAATCCTAGTATAAATGAAGTAGCAGGGAATGGGCATAGGCTGGAAAGGGCTAAAAAGTCTGGAAATCAGCAGACTGGAAAGTTCGTTGTGTTGCATCTGCGTTTTGACAAAGTATGGTCCTTATTCGTGTTTAAAGCTTATATACGTGCAATTTGTAAAATTCTGGAATTATATCACATTCTGCTTTTGATTTGGAATGTCCTTTTGGTTTTTAATGCACTGGGATTATAATATTTTAAGATGCATGTATAAAACAAAATGGTGTGAGTTTCTATTGGGAAAAATAGGTTATTCTGCTGTAAAGATCTTTACAGTATAAAATAAAATGTAATGAGACAGTGCTTTCGTGTTGAATTCTTTATTTAGCCCTGTAATATATCTTATTTGTGTGAAATGTGAAATCTCTTGTTCCTATCAAGCTTCATAATGATTACATCTTTTTTTAGGGGGTTAAATAATGATGACTATGTCTTTGATTTCAATGCAGGATATGGCTGCTCACTCAGCCTGTGACTTTGGTGGTGGAAAAGCTGAAAAACTTGCTCTTGCCAAGTATCGGCAGGTGATCTGGCAAGGAAGGGTATCAAAATCTCAATATAGCGATGAAGAGTTGAGAAACCAGGGCCGTTGCCCGCTTACTCCTGAAGAAATAGGATTGCTCTTGGCAGCTTTGGGGTTTAACAATAAAACGCGGCTTTATCTTGCATCCCACAAGGTTCACTTACAGCAAATAATTGGTAACATGTGACTATCATGTGGCAACAAATATTTTAGGGGAATTGCCATTAGGCTAATTACAAACAGTCTATGCAACAAATGATAGATTGATCCAAAACATGGTTAACTCATTAACCACTCTGAAAGTTTTGGTGATCACTTGTTTAGTTTTGCAAACTGAATGTATATATTTCTTGCTTCTCTGGAACTCCTAACTCCTATTTCTCCAGTATAGTTATGTCAATATTGGTAGCAAGATACTTTAATTGGTCTTTGGTACTTCAGAATTTTGATTTGCAAAGTGGAAAATTATTTATAAATTGTTTGAGCATAATATCGAATTTGAAAATTTTGAAGATGCCATTGTGTGCTTTCAATAATGGCCTGATATTGGATTTGATGATATTCTTTCAGGTTTATGGTGGCAAAGCTAGGATAGCCGCTTTAAGCAACTTATTTCCTCTAATGGAAGATAAGAAGAGCCTAACCTCGGCTGATGAACGCTCCAAGGTTGAAGGCAAGGCATCTTTGTTAGCTGCTGTTGATTATCATGTGAGCATGCACAGTGATATCTTCATTTCTGCTTCCCCAGGCAACATGCACAATGCTCTGGTAATAATCATCGTCGAGTACTCCATTTCAAACCTAACTGTTGTGCTGATTTTACATTGTATAATAATAGGTTCTAGGTGAATTGTAGCCTCGAATGGAGTTATGTGTTTGAAATAAAAAAGCTTGTGAAAAGTTTATGAAATAATTGAAAAAAGGAGAAAAGTGAATGTACACTCCTCCTCCTATGTAACTCCAGAATATCTTGAAACTGGTTTTGTTATTGGTTTATATTAGTGCAAGAAGTGAAGCACATGTCTAAAAAATTCACGATTTTTACCTAACATTTGTTTCATCTCTAGGTCGGACATCGAGCTTATCTGAATCTCAAGACTATCAGACCAAACATGGCACTGCTGGGTCAGCTATTTCAGAATAAAAGCATGGACTGGCTAGGATTTCAACGTGCAGTGCTGGATGGGCATAAGAACAGACGAGGGCTGATCAGATTAAGGAAGGATACGCAATCAATTTATACTTATCCTGCTCCTGATTGCATGTGTAGAGCTTGACGGGAACTAGTTACTTCTAGCACTTGTTAATTAATCCATTGTGCTGCGTCATGCAGCGAATCCCTGCACTGTTTCCACTATTTGTGTGCCACCCCATGGTTTTGACCAACTATCGCACAAGATTCAAAATCAAAGTAAGATTTTTTTTTTTTGTGTGAGTAAACCATTAGTTAACAGTATAAATAGATGGAGAGATGTAAAATAAATACCACACGTAATTGTCCACCTTGGAGTGGGGGGACATGGGGGAATTACTATTACGTCTGAAGGAAGATATTTAATTATTTAAAAATTAACAACTGAAGAGTTTGTAATAACAAGTTTAAAGAAAAGAAGTGACAATACATCTAAACTGATAATTTGTTATTAAGATCTTTTTATAATTATTTTTTTTGGGAAATCATGTAATAATAGTCCCTGACAACTACAATAACTCTTAAGTATGTGCAAAGATTTGTCTGACAAAGTAGCATTTTTGTCTCTTAATATATTAGACTCTGACTGTGTCATAATACACATGGTTGTGCTGCAGGCAATATCGATTTCCTCGCATTGAGAAGTTGATATCTGAACTTAACCCTTCTGTAATAACGGAGAGATGCGGTGAGATTTTTTTTTTTTTTTTTGCCCAACCAGATACAATGAGAATACAGAAAAGGATGTAACTTAAAATATGTTGATTATTTTAAAATAAAAATGTTATATATATATATATATTTAATTTTCATTAGAAAAAGTGTACAATATGCTAGATTGACTGACTACTTCGCTATCTGGCTTCGGGGCTGTGATTTGTGGGTGGCAGTGGATGCCAACATGATAACATTAATAAACTTTTACAAGTAATCAAATGATGACGCATTAAACTATTCAGATGCGGTCCCTTCAACGTTGTACTCTCCCTTTTGCACTTTTCAGGGATGTACGAGAAATTGAAATATTTGCCCGCTATGTTTCAATTAATTAGATCAATTACCGCCTACCATGTCTCAAACCCAACCTTCCTGCCCTTTTTGTGTTGCAAAATGTATCCCAAGCAATTAGGTAATTTTTCATCCTATAATTACAGATTCCTAAAGATCGGTTTTACTATGTTTCCCAATAGTATCAAGAGTGGATAGAGGCAGAAAGGTAATTTGCACTATAAATTTTTGGTAGTGCAAATATGATTATTTGCTTTCCATTTCCAGCTTGATAATCTAGATTTCATTCTATCCACAACTCGAAGGTCACAATTTTCCATGTTGCCTCCGTGGCGATGATGAAGTGTCCCAGATTCTTGCCTGCGCCAAAGGAACCCAAGGCATCACTTAACTCTTGAGCCCTATTGTGGTTGGTATTTTCAGAGAAAAATGTCTTCGCAAAATTCACCTTTTGCTCCAGTTGTGGAAGAACATTTATGAAGACATTGGTTGATATTCTCCACCTGATTCCATGAAGCTTTTGCAAATAAATAAAGAAACATTGTTTCTCCTTACGGAACACTTTTTATAATGATATCTTATTAACTTACATAGGAAAATAATAAAAACATTATATATATTTATAAACTAGATTAATTAAATTTATAGGATAACTAAGCTCCTTCGAACAGTGAATCATGAATTCCTAATTTAATTTATCACGTGTCTTCTTAAGAACAATTTTATAACTATATATCCTTTCTTCCTATTCATATCTAATGAATATCTATATATTACCTCCGATCTTTAATATAAGAGTTAGTTGACAAATTTGAGTAGATTAAAAAAACTAGTTAAACTAGTTATTTGTAGTAAATAGGTGTTATCTTTCATAAAATATTCTTGTTAATTAAGTGTATTGGCTAAAATTATTATTATTACAAAGATTATCTTAAAAAAATAGATAAATATAAGAAACAAAGTAGATTAAAATTTTATATTTAGAATCAAAATAAAAATTAAATAAGTTCTTATATTAAGAACCGGAAGTGGTATAATAATATTTTCTTAGCCACGTTTACCCAACAGTTGTACTGGGTTAATGTCTCGAGGCCATCGCCCTTTGAAATGAGAATGATAAGCAGAGCATTTATATTCTCTTTCCGTTGCTGCAGGCTACAGCCTAAGCCGCAAAAAGATTTGCTGCAAAAAATGCTTGGAGGAAATTACTTATAGAACCCGAGTTAAAATAAATAAATAAATACAAGTATGCGTCGAAAAATTATCTTTACAAGTCAAATTTGTATGGTAATTATAAATTAAATCTAACAATTCATGTTTGCATGTTAAATTTGTATATTCTTAGGCCTCATTTACAAGTCAAATTTATCTAAAAGAGTTTTTTAAATTTTTTATTGTTAATCTTTTTTTACCTAAAATGTGTGCAATTTTTCTATATAAATAATTTTGTTTGATTTGAAAATAAAAAAATTATTCTGCATATGAAATAAAACTTTCAAAATATATAAGAGCTTAAAAAAATTTCCAATACTAGGTGCTCTTTTATATATATATTTTTGGGGTATTTAAGCATATTATCCTTTTTTTATTTATATTGATCTTTATGCAAGTAATCCCAGCGCTGCACATAATTTTTTATTGTTTTGTTTTCTTTTAAAAATCTTTAAATCGTGTTTCTTGAAACTTAACAATTCTTTTGGAACACTTGACTTGCATGACTTGTTAAAAAGTAAAAAAAAAAAAAAATAGTGGTAAATAAATTCGAGAGAAAACAAAGTATTTCATTCATATATTTAATAAATTAAGCCATCAAATTCGAGTGAAAAAAACATTACTGAATTATTAACATGAGAACATATACTGTAAAGATTAGAAAATTTCTTCCTCAAAAATAACCAGGCATTCTTCTATTGATTTTTTGGGCAAGAAAATTCTTATATTGATTTTAACGATAAAGAGAACATGTTAGCGTGTGTTGTGTCCTATCTCTATTTTCATTTTGGCAAAAAATCTATATATTTATCAATTTTTAAGTTCTTTAATTTCTCAAATTAATTTTTTAATTTTCGAACACAAAAGTGAAATAGTCCATATGATATCTATTACTCTTTCCTGTTTTGTAATTAACAAGTTCCAATTAATAAATTTATATGTTTTTCTAAAAAAATTAATTATTTTATGAGTTAAGAAAGTGAGTTAAAATTAATTATTTATAATAAAATATCAAAATTATCTTTAATAAAAATTATCGATTAGAGTAGTTTGATTAATTAGTTAAGAAGTTTAATGGTTATATAAGGATATTTGGTGAAAAAATCAATACTTTAAATAAATCATGTTATGTTATGAAACACATTGGACATTTTTGTTATATTTTTTTTTCACCAGCAAGGAAATATCTGCTGTAAGAACACAATAAAGTAATTCATTAATTTTTTATTTTTAAAATTAAATAGACTATATATAAGTAATTTAAATGTTAAGGAGGATTTTGTATGGTTTTTCACTTTAAAGAAAGTAAATCAATCTAGATAGTATAAATTGACTTGGTTAACTAAAGTAACATAATTTATAGATCGGCTGGGTTGTTTACATTGGTGTTGAAGGCTTTAGATAGAGATAAATTCAGAATTATCTAAGTTTAGTGAGGTTTTCTTTGTCCCAGGATATTTTAACTCACCTGTGCTCGCAGCCGCTGACTATACCGTTAGACTCAATCTGTTGCCCGTGATGTGCACGTGACCACTGGATTTGAATTCGGACGCGAGCGCCTATATCTCAAATTCAATTCGATAGAGGCCCGACACGTCCAGATTCAAAATTGCGGTCTCTGAACCTCTGGTTCAAAAGCGAAACGCAAAGCCCTTCGTCGGTCGTCCCTTCTCGCAGGAACCCTTCGTCCACTTTCCGATTCCGTTCTCTCACTTTCGCTTACTTCGCCAATCTCGGAGGTAAGCTCGGACGGAAATTTTCATCCCCTTACATACTTGCGTTTTTCAAATCACGCTCATCTCATGGTTTGACCTGGTGGGATTTTGAAGCTTCATTTTGATATGTTTCAATTGATTTTATTGTGTTGGGTCGTGATTATAGGGTTTGCTGGACGGATTGAGGTTTTCAGGCATGGAAAACTCAGATGGGAAGAATGCAGATTCAACCCAATGCGTGCGAGTTGCTGTAAATATCCGGCCTCTCATTACATCGGAGCTTCTATTTGGTTGCACGGACTGCATTTCCGACGTTCCTGGTGAACCTCAGGTGCTACATTTATTTCCCTTTCTCTTCAGCAGATGATTTTCTCTTTCTCCATCTTTTGTCACTGGTTACGTTGCTGATTATTTTCCTCTTTCGATGTTTATATTTATAATCTGTATTTGAATTATAATTTGAAGCCGGATTTTTTTTATTGCTCTGCAGGTGCAAATTGGATCCCACGCATTCACCTATGATTATGTTTATCGTAGTTCACAGTCACCTTCAACGATATATGAAGATTGTGTAGCTCCGTTGGTTGATGCACTTTTTCATGGCTATAACGCCACAGTTCTTGCATATGGCCAGGTATATATTCATCCATTGTAGATATATAGAAATTTTCTTTGGGAAGTTTTGTTTTGCTGCATGTAGTCCATAGATTTAATTGAAGCATATTAAATTTGATTGTTTTTTCTGTTACCATGTAAGACGGGATCTGGGAAAACATATACAATGGGCACCAATTATACCGGTGAAGGAAGTAATTGCGGGATTATACCTAGGGTCATGGAAAATATATTTAAGAGAGTTGAAGCCGCGCAACACTCCACAGAATTCTTGATTCGTGTATCATTCATAGAGGTAAAAGAAATTATGATTATTTCAGAAGCCAGATTCATTGCTTCAAAATTTGACCTACTTAAAAATTATAAATATAAATGACAGATATTCAAAGAAGAGGTTTTTGATCTACTTGATCCAAATTCATCAAGAGCGGAAGCTACATCTTTTGCAAAGCCCTCTGTGCCAACTAGAGCTCCTATACAAATAAGAGAAACAGTAAATGGAGGGATAACACTTGCTGGTGTGACGGAGGCTGAAGTCAAGACAAAGGAAGAAATGGCTTCCTATTTGTCTCGTGGTTCATTGTCCCGCGCTACTGGGAGTACCAATATGAACAGCCAATCTAGGTAAAATGCCATGGACAATTCTGCTACATCTTTCCTTTTGTGACTTATATTTCATGGTTTGTTTGTGGGAAACTACATTACAATTGACCATGTAAATTATATGTTTTTTCTAGTCGCTCACATGCCATATTCACAATAACAATGGAGCAAAAGAATGGCAATGATATCTTATGTGCAAAACTTCATCTTGTGGATCTTGCTGGTTCTGAACGTGCCAAAAGAACTGGTGCTGATGGCTTGCGTTTAAAGGAAGGTAATTCTTGTCGTTTAAAAATGAAATCATTTTAGGATCATGAATAGAAAGAATTAAATCTAAAACATTATCGATTTCTTTTTATCATTTTGCAACCAATAACTTTCTGCATCTAATGAAACTTCTTAATTTCAGATAGATATAATTTTTTAGCTGGCTAACTTATACGTGTCTGAAAGTTTTTGCTTTCAATTGTTAATTTTTTACTTGGTATTTTTTTGGTTTAGGTATTCATATCAACAAAGGTTTATTGGCTCTTGGAAATGTAATAAGTGCCTTGGGGGACGAAAAGAAGCGAAAAGAAGGCGGTCATGTGCCATATCGTGATAGCAAATTAACTCGCTTATTGCAGGTAATTATTATATAGGCTTCAAATTATTTGTACATGTAATATAATTTCTTTCAACAGCCAAAACTTCGCTTTGCCTATGAAGTTTATGTTACTTTTTATATGGTGTAATAATTTTAGAATAATAGCAAGATATATGTAAAACTTATTTGTTGAATGCTCATACATCAGTCAAAGGTCATGGGCCAACTATTTTCAATTGATGTATCATTCAAACTTTTGAAATGGAAGTATCGTGTGGGAAGTAGATAGGCTTTATTGTTTGTGTTCTGCATGACATATGAATGTCAAGGATTAACATTGTATAATGATATGTACTTTGAATTTGAATCTTTAGGATTCTCTTGGAGGAAATAGCAAAACAGTGATGATAGGTATATTCCCAATCGATGGCTGTTCGCTAATTTAAATTTTTATCTGTTGTCACTATATATGCCTTCTAATTTTTTTAATTTGTCATGAATGTTGTAGCATGTGTTAGTCCTGCTGACACTAATGCTGAGGAGACATTAAACACATTAAAGTATGCAAATCGTGCTCGCAACATTCAGAACAAGGCCATTGTAAGCATTTGTATCGATCTTCATTATCTTTTATTCTCCTATGTGTGAAGTCGTTGGATCATTTATACTTTTCTTTTGTTTTAGATTAACCGGGATCCTGTGGCAGCTCAAGTTCAGTCATTGCGAAATCAAGTTGAACAATTACAAGCTGAGCTTCTGTTTTATAGAGGTGATGCTAGTGGACCATTTGAGGAACTTCAGGTACATTATTATTCTTAAAATGTGCGTTCCTTATAGTTATTATGTGATTCTAATGTCCTTTAAATATTTCAGATTATGAAGCATAAAATATCTTTACTTGAAGCAAGCAATGCTGAGCTACAACGGGAACTTCAAGAACGCAGAGTAACCAGTGAGAGTTTGATGAAGAGGGCTTTTGATGCTCAGGTGTTTTATTCATCTTTAATGTCCTATGTGATCATATAAATTTAAGCTGTTTGGGATAAATTTTTGGTGTTTATCATTAAGTTGTGGAATCTCACCTATGGCGTTGAACATTTGTAGGTTGAAAAAGACCAGTTGATCATGAAGATAGAATCAATTAGGAATGGTAAACCTTGGGATGAGATCGAGTCAAATTCGACCCAGGTCACCATGCTTCAAGTCCTCACTAAAATAATTTTTTGACGAATTAGATCAGTTCTTGACGCATGTTTGAAATCATTTGTAGGATTATGACTTGGTGAAATCTTATGTATCAAAGATTCAAGAATTGGAAGGAGAATTATTGCGTTTAAAAAGCTTGAACAATAAAAAATCAAGCCGTTATGTTGACTGGGTTGATGGAGATGATGATGGATTTAGATCCAAGAATGCAATATTTGCCTCTGGTAATGAGTATTCATCTGATTGCGACACAAAAGCTGTGGACATATTAGGTATCACAATGGAATTTAATTTCGGAAAAAGTAGTAATGTGCATTATACTATGTCATTCTCTTTTTAAAAACTCGAGTGTCGATGGTTTGGGTAGTTAAAGCGTTTTTTTTTTTTTTTTGGGTTAAATTTGTTCTGGTTGAGACAAGTGCATTTAAGTTTTGATATGTTTGAACTAATTTCTCCAAGTATCAATTGAAGACATTTCTATCATGTTAACATAGATGACGTGGAAGATGATGCGAAGGAGCAAGAGCACTCTTCCCTTCAGCAAAAGTTGGATATGGAGCTAAAAGAATTGGATAAGAAACTTGAGCAGAAGGAGGTAAAAACTGCCTTTTCTAGCTTGATATTCATGTTGTTTTTCAAATATTTTGTGCTCAACCTTTTTTTCCCTTCTTGTTTTGTATATTCAAATGTGAGTTGATGCTTTGAAATTGCTCGGCTAGATTGAATTATATATTTGCAGTGATACTTTTTTAAGAAAAAAATTGAATATTATGACGTGATTCTATTTTTATCTTTAATTTGAAGGCTGAAATGAAGAGGTTTAGTAGTACTGATACTGCAGTTCTTAGACATCATTATGAAAAGAAACTTTTGGAGTTAGAACAAGAGAAGAAAATACTGCAGGTAATTGCTCTGTCCTGTGCTACTGAATTCAGGCTTTCTAAAAGTTCATTCCGATAACTCTAATTCTTATATTATTGGCAGAAAGAAATCGAGGATCTCAAGTGTAATCTTTCAAGTATTCCATCTACTCCTGATGATGGTGCTCGAAAGTTGAAGGAGGAATATCTCCAAAAGTTGAATGCTCTTGAAACACAGGTGAAGTTCTTTTTCTCTAAATGATGTCTCATCTCTCAGCAACCGCTCTTTCTCATGAACTAATACTGTGCTTTTCAGGTCGCGGAGCTGAAAAAGAAACAAGATGCTCAGGCTCAACTCTTGAAACAAAAACAAAAAAGTGACGAGGCTGCAAAACGTCTTCAGGATGAGATCCAGAGAATTAAATCTCAAAAGGTACAAAGATTTTGTCGCAAAAATATGTTTTCAAGTTACAAGAACAAAAATGATTTTTTTTTTTTCCTGATGGCGATGCTGATAATCGTGATCTCTCTCTCTCTCTCTCTTCTCGTTTTTTTGTTGTTTTACTTAGGTACATCTGCAACAAAAGATTAAGCAAGAATCTGAGCAATTTAGGCTATGGAAAGCTTCACGAGAAAAGGAAGTTCTCCAGGTAAATGTAACTTTAACGAGTTTTCTTTTTAGGTGTTTTAATCAGTCATGATTGTGACCTTTTATGCATTTAAATATCACCAGCTTAAGAAAGAAGGGAGGAGGACTGAATACGAGATGCACAAGTTGTTAGCATTGAATCAGAGACAAAAGATGGTGAGTTGGGGTCAAATTCATTCTCTGTTATGGTTCATTTGGACTCTGCTTATTCCTATCATTTCCACACACAAAAATGTTTTAGGTGTTGCAAAGGAAGACAGAAGAAGCTTCCATGGCAACGAAAAGGCTAAAGGAACTTTTAGAGTCTCGAAAGGCTTCCTCACGGGAAACTACTGGTTAGGAAAATTTATGTGATGAAATTTTTTTTTTTTTCAAATACATATTTTTAAAGCTCATTATTTGTTTTTCCATACGTAGGAGGTGGAGGTGCAAATGGCCCTGGAGTTCAGGTACCGAACGATGCATATGCATGCAATGGTTAAATTGCATTTGAAACATTGATTAGGACTTGAATTTTTGTCAATATTAGTAAAGAGGCATCATAATGCATAATTTATTATGACAAGAAAGTTAACAATGGATGTCTTCGAGTTTTGAAAAGCTTCTCATTGCCATTTCTTCTTATTTGAAGGCTTTGATGCAATTAATCGAGCATGAGCTTGAAGTTACTGTCCGAGTACATGAAGTTCGTGCAGAATACGAACGTCAAATGGAAGTGTACGTTTTAGTTTCTGTTTTTAGATTTTTTGAAAAAATTGAGACCTTAAGAACGAGTACTGTATCATTTTCTTTCTGGTCATCATGTTGGATCATATTTATTACTTCTTTAAAATTTGAATGCTGTGAATCTGGTGCTGGGTCGTTGTGCAAACCTTTTTTTTTTTGGCTATGAGAAGGTGTCAAATTTTGTAGTTTGAGCTTTAATAGTATTTCTTTATCTTTTCTGTTGCTTCTAGACAAGAGCTTTGGTTCATAAAATCATTTGTTTATTGCTTTTTTCAATTTCAGGAGGGCTAATATGGCCAAAGAGATCAGCAGGCTAAAGGAAGAAAGTGATCTCTTGAAGCAAAACGATAGGTGAATAGCGTTGCATTTATCAAATTCTTTGATTAATTGATGGTTGTATTGTCTTGTCTTTTTTCTGTTGCAATATGCGATTTACAACCTCTCTGCATTCATGTAGTGATTGTATATCAATGTCTCCCGGTGCAAGAAAATCAAGGATTTTTGCTCTTGAAAACATGCTGGCTGCTACTTCTACAACTCTGGTGTCTATGGCATCCCAGTTATCAGAGGCGGAAGAGCGTGAGCGTGTTTTTGGTGGTAAAGGACGTTGGAACCAAGTCCGTTCTCTCGTTGACGCCAAGAATTTGATGAATTACTTGTTCAATATAGCATCATCCTCCAGGTTTTCACTACAAGTCATTACTCATCATGCGCACAACGATATAAAATTGACACCTTTAGATTTCAAAAATGATAGTAATTTTCAATTTCAGTTTCTTGTGAAGCAACTCCGATATTGCTTTTTGTGATGTGCTTGGGCTTGTCTCTGTTATCCTTTTCTCAGGTGTTTATTGCGAGATAAAGAAGTTGCTTGCAGAGAGAAGGACATGGAAATAAGAGATCTAAAAGAGAAGGTTGTTAGCCTAAGCTGTTCACTTCGTCAGATGGAAATGCAGAAAGCTGAACTCGCTCATCAAGTGAAGTTGCAGGTTAGTATGTTTAGCATTATGAGTGTTGTCATCTTTCCTTTTTCCCCTTCTTGTGCCCACCTTCTTTGTGAAACACTTTATGTAAAATTCTTGTCCATTACATTTTAGCTTTATGTGCTTGTAAAATACTAGCAGCCACAAAAAATTTTAAAAGCTACTTATTTAGCCTTTGACGTTCCAATTATCAGTATATCTTCTTTGCTTCCTTTTTAACCCCCATTAAATACTTTTGAGTCGAATGACAGGGTGTAGCTCTGAAGCAATACTCTGAATCTGGAGGGAATTCAGGATTTTCAAACAATGGTGGAGGACATAAGTATGACCTACGCAAACCGGTATTCCTAATTCACATAACTTTTTCTCCTGTTCTAATGGATTGTTTGTTGGTCATCAATTAATCATCTGTAACTTATCCTAATTTCAGGAAAATCGTCGATCTACTATCTTCCTTGAAGATATGGATATATCTTTGTCTGACTTGGATTCAGACGATTATGATGTGGGTACGGATGCAACAGATGATGACTGGGTTGAGTCAGGAAAATTGCGGGTCAAGAAGAGGAATTCCAGAAGTAGACGGTCAAGCTGGGAGGACAGCCAGTCAAATAATGAAACTTCAAGTGTCCAGGACAATCTGACAGGGCTTTCAGGCGCCTCTGGAGAAGGGGAAATTTGCTGCACTTGCTCGAAATCCTCATCTTGCAAGACACTAAAATGTCAGTGCAGATCAGCAGGCAACACTTGCGGAAGATCTTGTGGTTGTCTAGAAACCAGGTGTGCCAACAGAGAATTAATCTTGAACGAGGAAGCAGCTCCATCAGAAATGGTTAAAGATGAAACAGACAGAGACCTTGCCAGTCAGGGTGCAGAGTTACTTCAAAGTGCACTTGTCAAAACTACAAATAGCAATCATGGGCCAAGAAAGCCTCTCGCTGACATAGGAAATACAGTACTGTGCTTCTTTGACCTTTTTAATTCTAACATTTTTCACGTTATTACTGCAAGGGAACAATAATTAGCCTATATTTTTGGCTTGTTTTGTTAACTATTACTGCACATACATTTTTTGCAGGAGAAGTCCCATGGCCCGAGGCCTAACCAGAGGAAGAAATGGCGCAAGTCCACAATACTTCTCGTTTCAGATCCACCGCCCAAACCACAGCCTGAGAATTCTGAAGTCGCTGGAAAACAAGACGACATCATTAGCGAAGGAAATGATTCTTCTGTGAACTCACGTCCAAATATTCCATTATCTAGACCAGAAAATGCCGCCGTCGCTCCTAGGGCTGAGGGCGGTTTTTCGGAGGCGGATATAACTTTGAAAATTCCACGGGCTATGCGAAAGGCGGCGCCGTCGAATGGTGGCGCTCCCTTGTGGGACAGGAATGCTGGTAAGCCAGAGGAGTCTATCGCAACAAAGAAAGAGTCCGATGTTATTGACACTAGAAGTCCGATCCGGCCCAGAAGAACATCGGAGAAAGAGAACCATGGCCGTTAATTTTAAATATATTTCTTGCGTGCTGTTAACCATGTTTATACCCACAGGCTACAATTTCTGACCAGTCTTTTGAAGAGAGTCCGTGGCCTTAGTTGACCAGGATGCCCACAAACTCCATGGTCACCGTTTGATTCAGTGAGCAAGTAGATGAATTGCTCATTTGTCTTTTTCAAAAGCTGTTTTTGTAATCAAATTTGTCAGAATCTATTGCGTCTGAAGGCTCAGCCTTCTCCTACAATGTTATTCCAAAATAAATTACGATAAACGGAAATTGGTAGTAAGTAGGAAGGCATCAAACATCGGCAATAAAAATGAGGATAATTTTGGTCAATGGCGAAGAGTTAAATCATAATTTCGAGTGGGATATTAACGCAACAATTTGCAACCAACACGCGTTTTTTAACCGAAACATTAAGATTGAGTGGTGCTTTCGTCGTCTAACCTTTACAAATTACGCTTACGGTTTACAAAATAAGATTCCTTTCATATTTTACTTCTGTACGGCGGAAAGTTATTTCTCCATGATTGCTAAATGGATTAGGTTGTTTGGCAGGTTTACATGAAGTGCCACGTAGAATTGGTCCCCGTATATTATTGCATTAAAGATCTTATGGGGAACATCCTTGCCTTGGTTTGTCAGATATCATAATTGAAGAAGAAACTGATAAATTGCACGTCAAATCAACGTTTTCCTCGAAGGTGACGCTTCAGGGATCTTCGGCTTCCTCTGTTTTTGTCTTTTTATGGGACCTCAAGACTGAAATGATCCGTTGGCAAAAACAAAGAGGACCAAAACCATACCTAATCTTTACTTTTTGGTGGATTGCGCCAGAAATTTGGGGACACTTGCATGTGAGCATGTTCAAAGAGATGTATTTGGCATTTGGCATTTGGCATTTGTTGGGGCATGTCCTAGCCCGGCAGATCGGTCCCGCGAGCGCCGCAAATACATTTGAAAAGCACCACAAATAGAGTTAATTTATCAAACCTTGTACAATATGAAAATTCAAGTATAATTTATGTAGTACGTATAATGATACCTATATATTATATTTATTTAAATAGTAAGGTCTGTCTTAAACAGAAAAGGATGAATTCATTTATTCTAATTAATTTTTTTAAAAAAAAAACCATAAAATTTAAGTTAGATAACTAATTTACACATATAAAAAAATTCATTATATTAGTTATATTAGTTATTTGTAATAAATAAGTGATATTTTTTTATAAAATATTCTTGTTAATCATATATATTGAAATAAAAATCTTTTAACTTGTGCAATCACCATGAAGACTACTTTAAAAATAAATACATATGAAAGGCAAAGTGAATTTGAGTTTTATATTTATAATCAAATTAAATTTTTAACTTGTTCTTATATTTATAATATGAGATAGCAATAAATTATACTATGCACAACTGCACAAGTCATGAATAATCTAACTCACTCAAAGGTGTCTAGTTTGATTTATTTAAAAATAACAATAGCCCTTGATGTTTTATTTGGGAAATTCAGGCCACTAAATCGCACAGATTCTCTTTATATTGTCATTCCTAGCATATTACTATCGTAAAATCTGTTTACTTCTAGTTCTAATTCCACCGCAGACTGAATTTGATAGACTAACCAAGAAGCACCCATTGAATAATCCAAGTCACACAATAGTATAATATGCAAAAATAACTGCAATAATTAAAAAAAATTAAGTACTTAAAAAAAGAAGACCAAAACTATCTTATTCCAATATGAGGTGGGAGGACGTGGAGGATAACCTTGGACGAGACGGCAAGAAGGAGACACTTTCAGTTTGGCTCACACCTTAGAACGCCAACTAGCACCCTTTTTCTGACCACTGACTTCTATTCCAAGATCTGGGAGACTTCGGACTAAATCGCAGAAAAGGGTAAACTTTTGTACGAAACTGTTTATCTTTTAAATTATCCTCTATGTATACTTTTTTAATATATATTATACTCCAATACTCTTTTCGTTTTTTATTATAAAAGACAAATAACCAAATTATGTTGATAAAAAAACAGTTAAAATTAGTTGAGGATAATTAATGTGTAAAAAGTATAATATTTTTTTCAATAATGCCCCCATTAATAAGGAGAGAGAGTATGAGAGAGAACAATTAAATTATTAAAAGAAAGAGAAGTGGGAGGGAGAGAGTATGAGTTGGAGACAAAATAAATAGGGGTAAAATAGGAAATCAATACAAAAAAATAGAGACAACTTTTAAGTGTCTCTTATATATGTAAATATGTCATAAGTATCAAATGTCTCTTATAATAAGAAACGGAGGGAGTACTTTATTATAAAAACACAAAAATTTAGACCGGTGAGTAAAGAAACAAATTGTGTAAAGTTATTTGGTGCTGCAGAAGTTAATTTCTCCTATTTTCGTCGAATAATCTAAATGATATATTCCTTTAAAAATTAAATTAAAAATTAAATATTAATTCTAAACCTAGAAAATTTGTGACCGCCAAGAGTTGTGGGCTTGTGGTTGCCAGCCGAGGGGGGCCTCTGCCGTTGCAACGTGTCAGTGGCTCATTGATTGGTTTTAATAAAGCTGGCTCCACGGGATATACCTCCCCGCGGTGATTTGTTACTTGTCTTGTACATTCTGTACTTCTGCGCGTGACATTATTGGAATTGCATGAAACAATCCAACGGTTTTTAAGCACGCCACGTATGGTTCCTGGTTGTTCGACGGCATCTGGAAGCCGTGTGGAAGTTTAGCCTCCGCTCTTTTTCTCCCCAATCGCCTTCTGGCTGCCTCCAAACGTCCCACATAAACAGCCCGCGGGAGATTCCGATTGGTTTATGCTTGTACTAGAATACAAAGAACTCTGCGGGTGCTAAGGTATATTGCTTTGTTCCTCTCTTTCGCTTTGAACAACAGGTCTCCTATCCTATGAATCTTCGCCCTAAATTCGAAATTTCAGAGACAAGGCAGCTGTTTAATCTTTGCCGTTTGCGCTGGGATTATCTTTCTGTTCAAGTTGTTTCCTTCATCGAAACAAAGAAGGGCACGCTTCTATTATTTTCTGTGAGCTGAGATTTGTTTTTTCTTTTGAGTGAGGATGAGCTGGGAGAACTTTGAGACGTAATATTTTTGCATGTTAGAACCAACTAGATCTTATTTGAAACCGGAGATAAATGTCGTGGATGTGGTTTGATTATCGTGACAGTTCCAAGTTCCTACAACGACAATTTATTTACGACTTACTATGCTTGTATGCCTGATTCGGAAGTTTTAGTTGTTTCAAAGTTTACAGATTCGCTTTTGCTCTGCCTGGTTTTTGCTTTAGACCTCTCCTGACATTGGCTATTTGTCTGGCTACGTTTTGACAAATGGGAGTTTCTTTTGTTTTCTGTGATTTCTTTCCGAGAGGAAGAAAAATGTTTATGCACGTAGGATCTTTTTCGTTTTGGGATTCGAAAATTATATATGTCGTTTTTAGTACTATTTATAATTCTTAGATTAAGAAAACTAAATAAATTACTTCAAATTATGCATACTTATCATTTTTTTCAAACTGATATATAATCTAATGATACACAATTTATTTAACTTCTTTAATCTCTCCAAATTAATTATTTGGATCTTATTTTGAGGATCGGAGGTAGTATTTTGATCACTCAAACAAACGTGTTAAACTATGTTATGTTTGTTGATCTCAAGATGTTTTAGCTGCCACATACATGTTTGAACACTGCTGTCCAGCCCACGGAGATTATGTTGAACGTCTCTGACTGGCTGAAGAGTGATATACTTCGATGTTGCATTGACATAAATTAATTCGGTTTATATTCAAATTATAGAGTATATGCTTTCTAAGAGTTTTGGATTGGACATTCTTATGGCGATGTGGCCTGTAATTCAGAGTTTGGTGGCTGAAAACACATTTGGTGAGATCAGAAAGATATGAAATTCAACATTTTCTGATCTGATATTTGAAATTTAAACATCGCTAAATATTTTCTGGGTTTGATAGCTAAAGTATTTAAATATTCCCGACGAAAGTGTTATGCAAGAGTATGTTGAGGTTTTCCACCTAGAGCAAGGGGAGCTTTTGCTTTTCTTTAAACATTGGATTTTCTAGAAATCTAAGCTGTCAGTACTGTTTTTGCTTCAGTTCAGACGCTGTGATCATTAATCAATGTGCTCATTTCTCTATTGGATTCACTAATCAGATTTCTTACTCAACAGGTATCCTAAGTAGAGACAATTGCTTGTCAAGTAGATCCTCTGAAAGATTTTTAATTTTTTCTGCGGAAACTTGGTTCCTTGGAGGGATTGTTGGACTAGTATATGGCTGTGGCTTTTACCCATCTCTCGTGGTGGCTGTGGAGTGGAAAATCTCAAAAACCAAAAATCACAAACAGCCCTTGCATAAATTCTCCAGTTGATTCGGGTATGTGGGAATCAGATGCTTTAAGATTTCCTTGGGTAAATCAGGCAAAAATGGGATCCTCATCAAGGAGGACGAAGCGCAAATGGCATAACAGAGAAAAGCAGAAAATAGATACGGAATATGATGTTGTTCTTGTTCCATCTGATGGAGGATGTGTTTCTGATTCTGAATCCGATGGTTCTGATTGGTCTATTGGTTGGCTTGAGCCTCATGGACCTGAGTTTCCAAGTGATGACGAATCAGATAAAAGTTTTGCCGTCCTGGTACCCTGCTATGGACGCCAGTATAGTGGCACACTGGAGGATCCTAAAAGCAACATACTGACCACTGTTGGGAACTTTCCAGATAATTGTTCAGACGGTAAGAGCAATGTCTTCAACATCTATGAAAGCTCCCTTTTAGCCGGTTCCAACTTTATTTTTTCTATTGGCATTGGAATGCCTGTTCTAAGTAAAAAGATGAGTACCTTGTTGAAGCTGTTAGAGGTGTCAACAGTCTCTAAATTGTTGCTGGAGTTTATGCGTGCGATTCTGACTTTAGATCATGTTTGTTAGCGTTCTTTCTTTTGCTTTTTGTGGTGTGAGTAAAATTATGATTGCCCTATCCTTGAAATCCAGAGTTTAATATGATTACCATCAACTTCTGAAGTTCAGGATCAAGAATATGTCTACTTTAACCTATCCGTTTATTCTTATATTATCTTTATCACTATTTCATTTTGCATTTAGTATTATATATTATATTTTTATTCCCTTGAATCTCATTAAGGAGGTTGCTTTCTTTCTGTTCTAAATGAGGATATGCCCTTAGATTTATCAAGACAGATATTTACATCTATATTGAAGCCGCAGGTTTTGTCATGATTAATTCCCAGTCCTTTCTAAGTCAGATATTCTCATAACCTTTGGCTCTTAAGAGTTTTATATAATGATCCAATAAATACGTTAATGCAACTTAAAACGTAAACTGAAGATTTGGTTACTGCAGTATCTAAAAACAAGTGCTCTTTTCTGAAAACCTATTTCCAAATCATTAGTGTGGTTGATAGGACTTGTCTTTGTTGGCTGTTGGTATATCTGTACTGTGTTAGTTTACCTTTAATGTGGTAATAACTAACAGTAATTCATAACACACAGATGTATATCTGTGGCTATTTTTTGTTACAGATTTATGTTTATTTGTGACTTGACAAGCTGACGTTTATGGCTTTTGTTTGTATCTGCAGAAAGCAAGAAATATGTGGAAAACTGGCTCTCTTCTCTTCAAAACAGCTGATGCTTAAATACTTGTGCCTGTGATTTTGCACTATGGAGCCGCCTCTTTAGCTGCTGCTTTTTTTCTTTGATAAAATCACGCTGTGGTCTGGACCAGTAAACAATTGTATGATGATGTAAAAAATTAAACCAAAAAAAAAAGGGAAGTAAACAAAACTGCTGGGTGGTGATGTAATGGCAGAGTAGTGTTGGTCAACTTGGTTGAGGCTGGTACAATTTGTGAGGAGAAGATTTGATGATTGGCTGCTTCTTTGGTGTCTGCCTTCAAGAATAAAACATCTGAAATGTGTCTCTGCCTAAAATGAAAATGGAGAGAAATGGAAGACTGCATGTTGAATGAACTGTGTGGCTACGGAGCTTGCTATTCTTTGATGTAAATACTGTGTGTATATATGGGGTTTGCTTGTAACTTGTAAGCTTAGTCACGTTGTAGATAATTGTATAGAAAGTGTGTATAGATAACATGAATGTATTGTGTGTTTGGGCTTTTGGGGAAAGCACTGTATGTCTCATTCGTGAAATGGCAAGTTTATTTTAGTATTTTGCTTTGAGAATTAATTGTCCTTGCATGAGAAACACATCGTGTTCACTATCTTATCGAGGCTGTGATTGGAGTTGATCGAGACTGGGTCTTTTAGACGGCATGGTGATCTTGGAGTCCGGAGGTCACGATTTAATAGACTAATTCAAGCTCACGGTTCCATTTTCTCTGTTGTCTATTTTGACATACCTTAAAAAACAAGCATAACATTAATTTCTAAAATCTTGGCGGAATTCATTAAGTAATTTTGTAATTTGTGGTTGGAATATATTTTTCATGTGCTAATTATTTGTGATTTATTTAATTTAGATTCTTTTATATTTTTGTTAAAGTTGATGGGAAGATCATTAACTTTAGGAGATCAGACTATTTGCAGTAAATTAATTTATTCTGATTCCTTATCTCATTGAATTGCTCAACTAAATACCTGTAAATTATTAAAACACAGACAAGAAAAAGATGTGAAAATAATATACTCCTCCGGTCCTTAATATAAGACCCATTTAACTAATTTGATTAGATTAAGGAAGTTAGGTAAGTTAGTTAATTATAAGAAAAGTGACACATTTTTCCTAAAACACCATAGTTATATTTTTTAATACCCTATCTCCTTCTTCCACTTGATTATGGTTGAAGGAGTATTTATAAGGGTAATTTAGAAAAAATTAATAAATATGATAAATGGGTTTTATATTTAGGATCAAAACTGACTCAAGAATTGAGTCCTATATTAAGGACCGGAGGAATATCTATACTTGAGGGATTAAGAGTAGAAACGACCAATTGAGCATCTCATGACCTCAGCCAAGGGAGATCGAGAAAGCGGTGCAACTAAAACATATGCTTTGAAGTTTATATCGTAAAAACGTTATATTTTAGTTACAAGTTATAACAACAAATTCATTTTTTGTCAAGGAGCGTGGTAATTTAAAGAAAAGTCCTCAATTGCCAAGGTAGAAGTTGACAACAAAATAAATCAAACAAAAAGAAATTTTAAAATTTTAGGATATATGTATATTTTTTCCCAAAATGTTAAATACATTGACTAATTATAATATTACATAACGGAACTTATCTGATTTACATAACGGATAAACGGAACTTATCATTATGCATACGTACGAAATTTATGGGGGCGTGCATGGCTTTTTGGTGGGTTGGCAAGTGTTTGTTACAGAAGTCCTCGAATCCAAAATTTGAGCTCTTGAAAGCATCCAGACATCTATGCATGTGGCGAAGTATCCTCCTCTCCATGTCTGCCTCATTAGACCCGATTTTCACCAACCTGCTTTTCTTTTCCGATCAAACTTTCTTCGACCTCCATGATCAGGAAAATCGCAGCTGTTCTTTGATTGCTTATTTTGTATGCATTTGATTATCTACGCGTCTCTTTTTCGATCTCATTCGTCGTCGTCTTGGTTTTTAAATCAATGGGTTGAAAGTGTTTGATTGAAATCCCGAGAGAACGATGTTGCAAAGGGCGGCAAGCAATGCATATTCATGGTGGTGGGCAAGCCACGTCCGGACAAAGCAGTCGAAATGGCTTGAACAAAGCCTCCAAGGCACGTCGGATAAGTATCTGCAGATTTGTTTTTTGCCCCTTTTTGTTTTTCTCTCGACCAATCTATATGATTCTCCATTATTATTTTTTCGCAGCAAATTTCAGGCGATTTTAGGATTACCCTCATTTCGCATGTCTCGATTTCCCTTAGTCCAGTTATTTGCATCTTACGAATTGAATTCATCACCTTCTTCTAACAAATTCCCTGTGTTGTTATTAGCTCTCTGAACAATATAATGAAGTATTAGTGGAGACGATTCTTGGAAAGTGGAATTGATAAATTATTAAAAGAAGATATCATAGCATATGTTGTTGCATTAATCAACTTCTTTCGGTTCACTGGCCCTTCTCTTTCTCATTGGTAATATATGAATGGTTTCTGAAGGAAATTATTAATACACATGAACTAACAACAGATATGGAGGAGAAGGTCGCAGAGACCCTTCAAATCCTCGAAGATGATGGCGACTCGTTTGCCCAACGGGCAGAAATGTACTACAAGAAGAGGCCTGAGCTTGTAAGTTTTGTGGAAGAGACTTTCAGGGCATATAGAGCATTAGCAGAGAGATATGATCATTTATCAAGGGAACTCCAAAGTGCCAACCGCACAATTGCTAGTGTTTTCCCAGACCAAGTTCAGTATTCAGTGGATGAAGATTATGAAGGTAGCCCAAGATCCCCAGCACCTAAACCTGGAGTTCCTAGAAGTCAAAAGAAAGATTTTAGAAGCCCTTCCATGTTAATGTCAAGGAAAGGGCCACCCAAAAAGACTGCTAGCTCTGCTAGACCCACGACAACTTCAAGTTCTGAGCTGAGCATGGGTGAAGCGCTTGCAGAAATTGACAAGCTGCAGAAGGAAATTTTGGGGCTACAAACTGAGAAAGAGTTTGTGAGGAGCTTGTATGAACGTTCCTATGATAAGTATTGGGAAATTGAGGACCAGATCACAGAAATGCAAAAGAGAGTTTGTAGCCTGCAGGATGAGTTTGGCGTTGGTACGGTCATCGAAGATCAAGAGGCGCGAACTTTAATGGCAGCCACGGCTCTGAAATCATGCCATGAGACTTTGGTTAAGTTGCAAGAAGTTCAAGAAAAAGCATCTGAGGAAGCTAAAGCAGAATACCAAAAGGTTAAGGAAGCTCACGACGAGTTTGAGATCCTTAGAGATCAATTTCTTTCTAAACATGGGAGTTGCCTAGACTTAGACGATCATGGGGATAAATCTGAGAGCAGCAGATCAGAAAAAAAGAGCTTAGATGAAGAGATGGAAAACTTGGAAAAAATGACACGTGATGTGGGGCAGTTGAGGGAGAAAATTAAGGAACGACTAGGAGTAGATTCAGCAAACTCTCTCACTGTAACAGAAATGGCAGAAAGAATTGATGACCTTGTAAATAAGGTTGCTACCCTGGAAACTGCAGTCTCCTCTCAGACTGCTTTGGTGAAGAGACTGAGGTCAGAGACGGGCGAACTTCAGAAAAATATACGGAGATTGCAAGAGGACAAGGAAATACTGATAGAAGATTCGGCCAACATGAAAAATAAGTTAAAAGAACTGGAGGAGGAATTAAGGAAAGTTAAATATCTCCAACAAAACGTGGAACACCAAAACAGTAGCCTTCAAAAACACTTTACTGAGGCTAGCTGTAATCTTGAGCATCTCTCTGAAAGATTGCACGATGTGAAACAAGATGAGGAAGCTGAGAATTTGGTGCTCTACAAAGACACAAAAAGCACTTACGAAGGCAAACCAAAAAAGGTATCTGAAGAACAAAATGATCAGCTGTCTGTTGATAAATCAGCAATGGTGAAGGATTTTAAGGTAACAAATGAGGAGAAGGAAGATGATGGTGCGGATCTTGGCTATGACATAAATGAGGAGAACAAGTTCAAATTGAATGAAAATGTTGACCTTATGCATGAAGGAATTCAAAATGTATTGCAGCGGGATAAGGGTGATTTTTCCGAGACAGTAAGTAACGTTGACATTGAATCACATGAGGGAGAAGGTCAACCTAACTGGAGACAAATGTTCATAAATGGGTTAGATGATAGAGAGAAGATATTATTGGAGGAATACACATTGGTGTTAAGGAACTATGGGGATGTAAGAATGAGGCTAAATGAAGTGGAGAAGAAAAATAAGGACAGTATTTTTGAGCTGTCGCGTCAGGTAAGGGAATTAATGAATTCTCTTGTCATGAAGGATAAAGAGATCAGCTTCTTACGTCAGAAGTTGGGCTGTCCAGAAGTGAATCCTGATGAAACTCCGTTAACCGCAATGACAGAATATACATATACAACTCAAGAAGGAGGCAAAGAACAAGAAGCCAAGTCGCAGGACTCCGAAATTTCAACCATCAAGAAGCATGAAGAAAATGTGGGGGAAAACCAGGTGGTTCACAAGCGTCATGCCCTCTCACCCCATGAACAGAAGCTGCGTTCAGATATTGACGATTTGCTGGAGGAGAATCTAGATTTCTGGTTGAGATTTAGCACCTCAGTTCATCAAATTCAGAAATTCCAAAACTCCATCCAGGACTTACAAGCAGAGTTGTCAGCAATAAAGGATAACAGCAGGGCAGAAGGCAGTTCAAAGCATTCCATACATTCTGAAGTTCGGCCTATTTTCAGACACCTGAGAGAGATAAGAACTGAGTTATCACTGTGGTTGGAACATAATGTGATTTTACAGGACGAATTGCAGGGTAGAGATTCATCGTTGAACAACATTCAAGATGACATATCAAAAGCCTCCAACGGAGGCTCTGACACAGGGTTAAGCGAGTATCAAGCAGCCAAGTTTCAAGGTGAGATTACCAACATGAAACAGGAGAACAACAAGGTCGCTAGTGAGCTGCAAGCAGGTCTGGGTCTTGTCAAGGGACTGAATAATGAAGTTGAGAAGACGCTAGCAGAATTGGACCAAGCGTACGGGATTAACAATCACCCCCCCTTGAAACACTCGGCAAGCCGCATGCGAATACCTTTGAGATCTTTCTTATTTGGAGTCAAGTTAAAAAGGCAAAAGCAATCAAAGCAATCCCTCTTCGCGTGTGTGAATCCAATGCAGAATCAATATAGTGATATAGCAGCACCCAATAATGCCCCTATATAGACCAACTTCCGGGGTCCATCACCTTCATTTGGAATTTGCTTGTGATAATAGATGCGGAAAAGAAATGTTGTTTTCTCTGCTTTGAAAGTCTCCGACGTGTTTAATGGTTTTCTCTCACCATTGGCCCGGTTTCTGACCGTGAGATTGCATGTCTTTTGTGCAGATTGAGATTTGGTTGTAATGTATTTGCTTCTTTTTTTATTTTAGAATGTTGCCAATTTTTCTCGGGTTGTGTATGAAAAAATATCTTGGGTTGCACTTATTTTAATCCATTACAGTATTTGATATAATTTATACTCATCTAGAATTCTAGATAATTCACAGTGTATATCTACCGTAGCTTTGAGAATGAAGTACGATACCATGTCTGCCAGAATTTTCTCGGCCATAGAGTGAAGAAACTAATTTAGGGAGAATAACATTTAGATTTTTTTTTTTTGGGTCAAAGGAATAACATTCAGATAATTTGGAAGTAAATTGTCAGCTGTGTCCCATCTTAACAATTGTGTGTGTACAGAACATTAGCAACTATTTTTTAAAATTGGATAGTGAATTGTCTGTGTTTTACTCTCAAGGTATAAATGTCTTCTCCCAAAAATATATTCGGCAGTGTTTCATTAACTCATAGGAGAGCTAGGAATATTCCACCACCAATCTTTGGGCTTTGAAAAAATGAGTCTTGTTCTTATGCCCTCCCAGTCGCATGACGTGTAAATCCAGCTAACTTTGCGCCAAGTTCCTATTCTTATGACGAGAGATTTTTCTTGCTTTTCATTTCTCTGAATTTTCTACCAATGGGAGGTGATTATGACACCACTCACGATTTGACAACCCAAAATCGATTTCCAGAAATGGGGGGATCGAAAATCAAATCCCGGTGCATCTTGGCGGTTGCTACTTCTGTCTCATTCCTTTTCCTGTTCTATTGACCCAAAACATCCACTAGCAATTTAGCACCCCGGCCATAGTACGAGCTAAGCGAATTTCAAGGCCCACCCAGCTAATGGAAATCGAGAACGAAAGGCCTGATCAAAGCTTTTATCCGGGGTCCAAACTACTTTGACGATCTTGTTCTGAAGAATTTTCGGCAATCCTTCATAGGATGGAATCAAAAGATGCGCAATAAGATCCGATTCACAACCCATTACATTCCTTAGCCTGGAATAAGAAGGGGAATTATGCGTCCGATATGCCGGAAAATTCACTGTTGAAAGGGCATTACTGAGATAAAAAGAATATAACATTATATGACTATGAGACAAAGTACAAGAATATACATAATCTTTATAAACTAGTTAAGCCAATCTAATAATTATTCATAACTCTTTCAACCTGTGTTTGCCTGCTCGAGGTTACCTATCAAGTACCCTTACAGGCAACCCTAATTCAGAAGAGGTCTAGCCTATCACAGGAAGACAGAGTGAATAGGTATAAAAAGACAGGTCCAGAAAATCATTTCATTTTCTCTGGAAAACCCGTTTCAACCTCCATCATCAGTATCCTAGAACTCCTTAAACTAATTTTGGTAATCTTGAATTCAACGCATCAATAAGCAAGGATACCACACTTGTTCCAATTTCCAAACCGACAAAAAATCAGAAAAATCACCAGACATCTCTAAGGTATCGGCCATCCATTTGCAGTTTTTTCACTATCGCCTCCGCCTTGGATGAGTCCACATTTTCCTGAAATTCAATTCATCACAGGGTTCAAGACAAAGTTTACTTCAGTGAGTGCGAAGTATACAGGACATTGCAACCAGAAATAAATTGGTCGAAGCAATCAGAAGAATACATTCTCATAAACTTCATGCCTCCCCCCCCCCCCAAAAAAAAATATTAAACAGATATCAAGGATAAAATTAATCGACATAGTTGGGACCTAGAAAATACTAATTATAAAATTAATCCACAATTCTATGTCTGTTCAAGAATTAGGATCAGGAGGTGGAGGGTGATGAAAAGAGAATCTGCACCTGCTGCTGGACAATGGTATGCAGTGTCCTATGGACATCTCTGGCCATACCCTTGGCATCACCACAGACATAAAGATAACCTCCCTGAGAAATCATACTCCAGAGATCTGCTGCCTGCACATGAAAAAATCATCAAATAAATTACTTTTATCAGTGGCATTTGCTCCCAGCTAGGATTCTATTTGCACTTACTTTATCCATCATCTTGTGTTGGACATATTCCTTGTCAGGTCCCTCCCTAGAGAATGCGACAATCAACTCTGATAGAGCACCTTGTTCCACAAAATTCTTCAGCTCATCTTCATAAATAAAATCCTAAAGACCAATGTTAACAAACAAATTACACATCCTTCTAAAACTCCCCTGGGATTGAGGGTACACTAACAATTATCTTACCATTCGACGATTCCTACACCCAAAAAAGAGCAATGCGGGACCAAGTTGAACACCATCCTCTTTAAGAGCAAATCTTTCCTGGATAAATAGAAGATAAAGAGTGACTCAAGAATAAGTACATGTCTATAATTAGGATACTAGTGTGAACCAAAGGACATGGACAAGCGTCAAGCTAATTGAGTCCTGGTGTAAGTTGAAGCCCACTAGCAGCAGACGATTCAACAATATTATGTAGTTTAGGAATTGTGATTTAATTGATACCAGTTGAGAGCTGGCTTGAGGGCAGCTTGAGTCTACAACGTCTGCTTATCCCCTTTGACGAAAAAGGGGGTTCAACTGATATTCTGGAAATTTACATTTTGCTATTTACAAATTTAGGATTAGGATTTTACTAAATTATGATTAGCTACATTTATTCAAAAAGCACTACAAAATCAGGGTTTCTAATCAAGATAGAACCAGGAGTCGGTATGTTATATTGTGGTCAAACATTTTTTTTTTTTTAAATGAAGTGGTCAGATATCTTTCAATTACTGATCAAATTCTAACATGTCTCTCCTATCCCTCACCTTCCATCTGTGCCGTTTCCACTCTCCAAATTTCCCTAATTCATTCCATTATTTTTTTAGAGAACTCAGCAAATCCATGATATATTCATACCTGTAAAAACCCCCTAAAAGGTGCCAGGCCAGTACCAGGTCCAACCATTATTACAGGAATTGAATGATCAGTCGGTAACTTGAAATTTGATGGTCTTATAAAAATAGGAGCCCAGCTACAGTCAGAACTTTTCTCCGAGGGAATAGCATTCTGAGAATATGAGATATAGCTCCAAGTTAGATAAGACATGGCATGATACAGCATTGGACAAAGCGGGAAAAAGAATCAGAAGATGATAACAGAAGATCTAAGAAGTTTAGACAGGATATATATATATATATATATATATATATATACTGCAGGAGGAGGTTATCTGTATCCAACTGCTACCTTCATCCAGGTTGAACAAACTCCTTTGTGGATTCTACCGGTGGGAGTTGGACCATAAACCAAGGCACAAGTTACATGTACTCTTTGTGGAGAAAACCTGGAGAATATATAAAATGCAATGCAGAATTAAGTGACAAGTTAGCTTATAAACTTTATTTCAGATACTTTTAAGGTAGGTTAAGATGCTAACCTAGGAGATGATGAAATTGAATAATAACGAGGTTGTAACCGAGGGGCTATTGCTGCAAAGAACACGCCTAGGGAAGGTTTTGCTGAAGGAAACTCAGCCATTACCTCAAGGAGACTTCTTTGACTTCCAACCACCCATTTAGAGTACTCATCCTGGAAAGTGAAAAACCAATATTCATCCTCAAAAGAAGGGGGGATCAAACTTAAAAGAGAGATACAAGCAAGAATTAGCAATTTTTCACCTTTCCCTGAGGAGATGATAGAAACTTTAATTTCTCTGCTTCACTGGGTTCAGATGCATGAGTAGCTAAAGCAACTAAAGCAGCCTGAAAGAGGAACACATATAACTGGCCCCTCTTAAAAAATCTATTATAAAGTTGGACATGTCCCTAATAAAACCACTGTTGTGACGAGTAAAATTGTTTACATAACAAGACAAGTAAACAACGGTAAGCACTTGAATGATCATATAAAAACCTTTCGAGGAGGGTTCAAGAGATCAGCGTAATGTGCCAATGCAGTGCGTAGTGTACAAGGACCAGGGAAAGGAGGTGGCAGAGAACCTCCCAAGGGAGTACCGTCCTCATTATCAGTGTGAAGAGAAAACAACAGATCTAAATCTTTATCCAACAACCTCCCAGCTTCTTCAACAGTCTCATCACAGTTTTCAGCATAAACACCAACATGATCTCCAGTTTCATACCTGGGAAGATCAGATGAAATCATCAAATACAGCACGTTACCCTCCATCTAACAGGAGCACTAAGCACAACATCAAACCATAATCAATCGCCAATCACTTTACAATTCTTTATAAGGCCACCCAAGATGTTATTTAATTGCAAGCTTATAATACTGCTAGAAGCTTCAGACACTTAAAATCCTGATATCTCTCCACAGATCAATACTTATAAGTAATTTCAAGAACAAACACTCTTCAAAGTTACTTTAATGTTTTTAAACATAAAAAAGAATTCACACAGATCCACCATCCCCCCTCCACCTCAAGAAATTTCTTCAGCATTAGTTCTGCCAAAGTCCTTGTTTCTTTATTAAGAAAATAACAATTTTGTATCCTAAGACAATGCCACTTAGCACAATACTAGTCATTTCACACTAATAGTTTTAAAGAAATTAGCAGATAAATTTAATTTCTAAAAATAATTATTAAGAAAAATAAATTTACAAATTCATAGCAACAAACGCTATTCATATCAAGTTACCAGCCCATGATCTTGTAATTCATTAGTAAATATGAGGTCTGACTTACGATATTCCAGTCCCTGATATATCAAACTCCAGATGTATGCAAGAGCGATCAGACTCAGGTTTGTGAAGCTCTTTTTGAACAGCAACATTGACCCTTCAAAAAGAGAAACAAAAATTTGTTGTGTCCACTATAGCATAAAATAACAATAACAGTCATAAATTCAACATGCAAAGCTTCATGCACCTGCAAGGATGGTGAATGTCAAACACAGCATTCCCGTTTGCCATATTCATATGACTATTATTGCATGATGTGACAGGGGGATCATGAATCGCTACTCGATATTCCGGTATAGTGGCCGTATAAGGTGTAGAGACATTATTCACATCATCCTCATTTAGGAGTAATTGATCTAACTCAGGCCAGAGAGATTCCTTCCTGCAAAGGAAAGGCCAATTCATAAAATTTAAAATGCAAGCAGTTGCAACATTTTATTCATTTTTCTTTTTCTTTTTTTGGTTTCGGTATAAGATAGTAACAAGACATCAATAGGTGTGTAGCAGGACCAGTAGGGTTACACTTACCAAGCCACAAAATCATCTTCAATAGATTGATCATCATCACCTAGTCCAAGAGAAACAAGACGTTTTGCACCTGGGGCAAACACAATTCTACACATAAGGAGATTTCGCCATAAAGCCAATATACTACTTCATTATGTCTGGTATATAAAGTAGTAGCCCACGGCTCATGCTAAGCAAACAGAAAAAGGAAGCTACTCAATAGATTTGATGCCAATGGCACTGTATAAATCCAACGGCTATACTTCCTAAATACTAACAAGGCGAGAAAAACATATAGCTGATAAATTACATACCTTGTTCACTAAGTTCCTGATCAATGACCTTGGCTATCTGTTTCAGAAGAATATCATTAGATGACAATTAATGATCCCAGCTAAGAAAAAGTAAAAGCATCCGATATTTACCTTGTTAAAATGTTCATATTGCCTATTACCCAGGCCAAAAACACCATATGTGAGATGTTGAAGCCATGTTCCCCGCTCATCTTTTCCCTTTAAATTTTGACCATAATGTTAGAACCTTCCACATGAGGCACATGAAACCACAAATTATGATTTACTAAAGGCGTTGATATGACCAAACCTCAATAAACCATTTGTAAAATCTTGCAGCATTGTCAGTAGGCTCTCCGTCTCCATAACTGCCAAGCAAGATCCAAATATCAAATGAACTGGGCATTTCAAAAAGCCGTATTCATTTCACCATGTTTATGAAAACAATTCTTACGTGGCCAACATGAAAAACGCAAGGGTCTCTTTCTTTAGTTTTTCCCCGTATAGATCATCATCTGCTGCATAGTCATCCTAATTAAAATTAAATACACCAGAAACCTTAAGTCAAACCAATAGTTTAAAGCAGAAGTTTTATCGAAATAGAACACCGTCCAGAAAGTTTTAAGTGAATTCAGAAATGAATCATGCAATCCATAAAATGACCACGATGATGGTGTGCCTGAATTTCATCGTGATCCAACTTACCAGGTCAACAACTTTGACTGCTGCTTTCTCATACCTTGCCTTAATCTCCTCTGCCAAAGCCTATTAAAAGGACATGGAACAAAAAAAAACACGGTGGCTAAACAAGATTGACAGCAGACTAATAGATAAACTGTTCTTTATTAGAAAACAGATCAAAATTGGCTTTGATTTAAGGCAACCTGATATAAATAAGTAGTTCATCAAACTGTTAGTCAAGTTTGCAGTGTTGTTAACAGACTTCACGTTGAAGAAGTTAGTTAGAGTTCTAAACTAACCAGCTCTTGTATAGTTGTGTATAAGAGAAGGAAGAAGGTGGTTATGATGGTTGATGCAGTTCTGGAATTCTAAATCGCTCTCATTCTCGCTGTTTGTACTATCTTCTTCATATCACAACCATTTTAAGCATGTTGGAAAAAGGGAGAAATTAGCATATGCTATAGTCAAACATTTGAACAAGGCATAACCCATAATAATTTTCAAGTTAACGTTAGCATATGCTACAGTCAACAATTTTTTAAACAAATTATAATATTGTTTAATTTTCCCATTGCTATGATCAGCATCCTTGCGTCTTGGTGCTTTTACTTGGTGTTTCAAGCAAACGGAGCACGTGTAACATAACATACCACCAATGACGCCAAACATAGTACAGGATTGCTTGTCATAAAGTAATCTGATTCAGCTTCATTATCCATATCATATATGAAGGTTAAACGTAGAAGGGAAAAGCATCAAATCAAATTAACACACTATATCCTTCTGCAACTCAAATTTCAGAGACACCAAAACCATCAGATCAAACTAGCAAGGTACAAGTTACAAAAGCTTAAATCAGACACCACCCTTTATAATTCACACTTCAGGGGGAAAAAAAAATGAATTGAATTCTCAGACAGGAGCACCCCTCCCTCCGCTTCGATCTCAATCAAGAATCAATATCCCATCCCTGACAAGTGTGGAGGAAGTGGCCTAGCATCGGATTTACTTCAACGGGGATGAAGCAACATAAACGAGTGATGTGATTACGATAAATGACGAGCAAAAGAGGAAGAGGGGTAAAAATCCCAGCCTCTAGAAACAATCGTTAAACATAATCTCGACACGGTACCCAAAAAAGGGCGAAATCGACTGAAGAAGAACTGTACCTTTGCGAAGCCCTCAGCTGTACCAGTCTGAGTACCAAAAAACACAGTAACCTTAGTCTTCCCGGAGCTAACGTCAACATCATCCTCTTCCTCCTTCACCGACAACAAACTCGGTACCGGCACCGGCTTCACCTCCTTGCTCCGATCCGACGACTTTCTCCAAGCAAATGCCAATAGCCCAATGATAAGAGCCACCAAGGTGGTAACAACGACAGCCAACGAATCCGAAACTGAATCACCCAGCGAAATGCCCAGCAGGGATTCAAGTGTGCGCACCAAAGCCGAAGTCGGAGCCATCGCAATCGGTAAGGATCAAATCAAGTCAAACACGGATTGAAGTAGTGGCCAAATACAAATTCAGAATATTTGCAGTGATAGAACTAGTCGTTGATCCGGCCTCACTCCACGCTCTTCTCTCGCACAGTGCGAGTGAGAGAGGTCGAGTAAGCCCTAGAAAATGATGGTGGTGATGGCGCTTGAAGGCGGGTGGAGAAGAGAAAGAGGACCCACCAAATGGAGATTGACCAGAGATTTTGGAGCACTTTATATGATTCTGATTCTGCCGGAGGAGAGGTCAGAGCGTCCCCGTGTCCTCGCAAGCAATGATGTGGTGACTCGCAAGATTTCCCACAACCTGAGGCTTCTTGGCAAATGGGCATTGACAATTAAAAAGGGGTTTGACAGCCAACTCCCTTTCAACCGAAAAGTAAGCTTTGTGGTTCAAAAGAAGAGGTTACCTTGCGTTTCCCCATTATCCCGCCGTATTTTTGCACCGATTCCTCAACTTTTCTTGCATGACATGTTTTTTTTTTTTTTCCGTAACCACAGAAAAGAATCCTTTGAGACAGGATTGCGATGTCTAGGTATGACTTTTATCACAGGCAGCATGGAACTCAAAAGCGATGTCCTCTGCATTCAACCCTGCAAATCGCGATACATTAAATTGAATTTAACATCAATTAAGAGAAATCGCAATAAAAAGAAATTAAGTTCATATAATAGATATCGGTAATTTTTTAGAGAATACATCGCAAAATCCTGAGTGAGATGGGCTTTTCTTAATGCTTGACTTTCCATCAAAGATTCACACTAACTTGACCCCAAAAAAAAAAAAAGATTCACGCTTTAGTGAGGGGAAAAAAAACTTAAGACTGCATAAAATTATAGAATGAGACGGTAAAAAATTATAAATTCTTAAACAGTCATTTACTATTTTTAAGTAAAGGTTTGTAATAAGAATTGAATTTTTTAATTTCATCTGTCTATCATTTTATCCACCAGTATACCTATTATGTTAGCAAATCTATGCTTTCATTTTTATATCTTTTTTTGGTTCAAAATTTTTATTTCATGCTCCGCGGCCTAATGTCGAAAATGAATACCTAACGAGTGGTCAAAATAAAAATAATAATAGTAATTAATAATAATACCTAGCCAATATATTGATTCATGATTAGCTTGGTATTGGTCTTTTTTAGTGTTTGTTGTTTTTTAAGATATCTATCATATACCCCATATTATCACAATGCGCATCATTAGGTCTCATTAAGGCGGCTCCTTCAACATGTTTTTTATTTTTAAATTATTGTTATATTTTAATCATTTTATTTTTAAGGCACAAATAAAAGTTTTTCCATTTTATGGGTCAAATAATTAAAAAAAATAGAAAAAATGATTAAAAAAAAGAAGTTAAAAATTACTAAATGTTAATAAGGAATTTCAACAAAAATTTATTATTATTTGTAAATTCACTATTATCAATATTAAATAAAATGTTATTACAAAATCCGGTTTAAAATTTAAAAATTTTTAACTTCTTTTTTATCATTTTCTCATAAAAGCTATAAAGAACTGGGTTTTACAAAAAAATAAAAGAATTGGAACAGTACTTAAAAATTCCTCTTATGCTGAAGATTCTGTAAACGTGCAGATGAATGAAGGATGGCATTGGATTTTTCACCATAACTCTCCCCATTAGCCAATGAAATTATTTTTTCAGTCACTGGTTGACGGCAAAACCATAACTCCATATTACTTCCATGTCAAGATTTCACATCAGCTGGCTTATCAATCTCAGGCCCCAGCCGCATCGCCTGCCCACTTCGAATTCGCGAGTCTCGACGACACGCGCGCGTAGAAGTAAGACTGAGGATTCACAACAATTAGTAGGCAATTGTTTATTTTTTCCCCTGCGAATTTAGACCAGCTTTTTAAAGAGGCTATGGGAATGCCAAGTTGGGAGGAGAAGGTTCTGCGTCGTTGAATCTTCAAGTCCACAAGTCGGCAATTTGCATTGTCCACTTTTGAGGGTCGCGGTGGCTTTCATGGTTATTAACTGATGGACAAGGAAAACTGAAAGCAAGCAGGAAATAAAGCTTTATTTATCCTTGATATAAGTTAGATGGACACGTCTCGTTATGAATATGCGATGTTTGAAAAATAAATTGATCCATTCATAACTTTTTTTTTCGGGGTCAAGGATCCATTTATAACTTCAAATAATATTATCATATTTTTTTAATATAAAAATTAGTTGACTACTTTGCTCAAATTAAAAAAAATTAGTTTAGTTATTTGTAATAAATATGTGTCTTGTGTTTTAAAATATCCTTGCCAATTAAATATATTAATTAGAACTATTATTATTATTATAAAGACTATATTGAGAAAAGTTGATAAATATAAAAAACAAAGTGGATTAGATTCTCATATTTAGAATCAAAATAAAAGTCAAACAAATTCTTATACTACCTCATATCCTAATTATAAGAGCTAGTTAATTAATCTGAGAAGATTAAGGAAAGATATTAAGTTAGTTATTTGTGTTGTCTTTCCTAAAATATCCTTACTAATCAAGTGTATTAGCTAGAACTATTATTGTTAGAAGGACTATCTTAAAAAAAATACATAAATATTATAGACAAAGTGGATTACGTTCTTATATTTAAGATCAAAATAGAAATCAAACAAGGTCCTATATTAAGGACCGGAGGTAGTATTAAGGTAATACTCCTCCGGTCATTAATATAAGACCCATTTAACTAATTTAATTAAATTAAAAAAGTTAGGTAAGTTAGTTAATTATAAGAAAAATGACATATTTTTCCTAAAACACCATAATCATCTTTCTTAATACCTCCTCTTCTTCTTCTACTTGATTATGGTTGAAGGAATATCCATAGGGGTAATTTAGAAAAAATTAATAAATATGAGAAATGTGTTATATATTTAGGATCAAAACCAACTCAAAAACTGAGTTTTATATTAAGGACCGGAGGAGTATATTGTAGACATAGATTGTATTATATGTTTCTTGATAAAGCGAAAATAAGGAGGGAGGCAAGTGAATTTATTTTTGTTGTTGTGAAATTTGAATTTCATTGATTCTTTCTTCATCAGTTGTCTTTATTTCAGAGGATTTTAAGCGTCTTCCACAGCAGCACAAATATGTTTCTTGGGGAATACTGAATTCCATAAAAAACGAAAAAGGAAAGGAAATACCGTATCTAGTGCTGGAATATTACCTCGACCTCATCCAAGGTCATTTTCCGTTACGCACATGCACACTAACAGATAAACACTGAAGGAGGGAAACGGTTTGAGATATGAGACCTATAACAGCCTATTTGGTGGATAGCTCTAAACCTAGAAAAACTTTTGGATAACCCATTTCTGCCAAAATGAGTGATTTATTTAAGTTTAGCCACTTTATCGTTTCACAAATGTAATGTGAGAAGTGGCCAAATGACAGTTTAAGCAAAAGTGGTTTTCCAAAAATACTTTCAACAAAACTGACCCACTCGAGAACTCTGTTGCTGGCTTGTTACAAATATGTTGCTAATCATGACTTCAGACGAAAAACTCTTGACCAAATTGAAAGCTGTTAGCAACATAAATGCTCAGAGATGAGTACAGGAGTCCAACTCCAGCTTATGTTTTTCAATCATCACATTCAATCCCCACACAGGATCCAGATCGATGAAACACCAGGTTCAGGTGCAGCTGAGATTGGGGAGAAAAAGAAGCAGACATTAAAGCTGTTAGAACAGTTTTATTAGCTATTAAATCCAGCGCACCCAATAAAAGTAGATTGGCAACTCACAATTAACGGCCATTGGGGGTGCAGAATCAGCTGCAAATACTGACAAGAGTGCAAATATCCCTAAGCCTAAGAACACAGACTTAAGACCGAACCTCAATAATGAGGCAGAATTCCACGCAAACATAATTAAAAGAGTATAGTATCCAGGCATTGGTATTCTGGCCACGTGCCGTAGCCGCAGAGTGGAAGATACGTTGATTATTCAAAGGAGAAGGTATCATGGGCTCTGAATAGCTATGAGATTTCCGGAAACGGGATGACAAAAATGGACCTAGAAGTGAGCGAGCGAGCCACACCAGACATGGGTATTTGTGGGAACAAGCAAGCGGCCTCATTGTCAAACCATTGTGCTGTGACGAGTGAGATCGAGGCTAACTGGTCTCATTGTCACCTACTTAATAGATATGTTTTAAGTGTTTTCTTCTGTTAGTAATCTTCCTTTCAAGGTTTTCCAATGATCAAGCAATCAAACAAGTACATGAGCTTCTAAGATCATATCTGCATAAGTTTCTCAGGAGAATGCTCTAATTTACCTAGCACAGAAAAACTAGTCACAACAGGCACAAAGTTTGTTTTTTCCTTTGCCCGAAACGGGCACAAAGTTGAAAATTTTACAATTTCTACTATGAACCCAATCTGCTTAAGGCCTCTTGAGCCACAGTTGACAGGGGTTCCACCTTGAGAGCCTCCTCAAAAGCTGTCCTGGCTTCCTGTTTCATCTTCTTTGCCTCGTAGCATTGCCCTAACAAACAAAAGGCTTTAACATTTTTCGAATTCAGCTTTACAGACTCATTCAAATCCGTCAGAGCCGAATCGACCCGGCCGCGTTCACTCATCGCCATTTTCAACTCAGCCCTCTTGAGAAGCGCGTCCCCTTTCTCTTCATCGGCGAGGGACTTCACGGCGAGCGGAGACAAAGCCATGTCGAGCGAGTCGAGAGCCGAAGTCCTAAAGCCTTGGAGATCAAGAGCCAGGGCTTTGAGAAGGTAAGCGGCTGCATCCTTGGGGTCAAGCGCGATGGCTTTCTCGGCTTCGGCTAAAGCCTCTTTGGCCAATGAATTCGACGCGGATCGAGTCTTGGAGGATCTAGCTTGTGCAAGGAGCTGAGCACCTAGAACGAAGTGGCGCTTGGCTTGAATGTCGGATCGGCTTCGGAGACGGAACTTGGCGAAGAGCTTCCTGGGAATGTCGTGCATATGCAAGAACATGAACACCATGACCAGGATCAGAATAATTTGCAGCCCGATATCGTGCCACATATATTCTCTGTCATTCCTCTCCATCGAATTTTCCTAAGGAAGGGGCTCCTCCGAGATCTGTCTGGATGATCAGGGCAGAGATCGGCGCCTTGGTGTCGCTCTGTATCTCTGCAGCACAAGTGAAGGGTGATGGATTGGTCACGGATTGTTCAACCTTTTATGAGGAAGCCGTCAAGCAGCCAGATTTGAATGGATTTTTTCCTCGGGTGATCGGACGCCCTTTCCAGTTTTTTTTTTTATTATTATTGAAAATAAAAAAGTTAAGGGAAAATGGCAAATAAAAGCCTTTGAAATTACAATTTGAGACCCTCAATTTGAAAAATAATAAATAGAGACTTGGTCTCATATTACAAATATAAAATCTTGATAAAATGTCTAAAATATCTCACAGCTGAGTTGTAATTTAGTCTACTAAAATTATCATTCTCTAAAGTGAACTTGTCATTTCCCATAATCAACTTGTTATTTGGCATATCATCAACCAAATTGTGATTTGATCTACTAAAATTGTCATTTGCTAAAATGAACTTGTTATTTTTTTTCAACTTATCACTTAGTCGATGGGCATTTTAGATATTTCATTAAAATTTCATATTTACAATATGGGATCAAGTCTTTATTTGTCATTTTTTTAAATTGAGAGTCTCAAATCGCAATTTCACATATTCAGAGTCTTTATTTGCTATTTTCTCAAAATTTAATATAATCTTGAAAAAATTTTCAAAAAAATAACTGTTTAATTTCAAGATTTCAAATCAGTATTAGACTACACTTGAAAAACGAATGACAATACAGTTTTTATTTGGTTTTGTTTTAATCCTTAAAATTTTAAATTATAAGTTTTAATACTATAGAAATGTAAATTTTTAATAGATTATAAAGACTAATATTTTAAATAAAAATAAACTTCAAGTACAAAAACTTATAATTTAAAATTTTTAAAAAAATAAAATTAACAAATTTTTGAGAGACAAAAATTGTATCAACCAAAAATAACTTCATAAATTTGGTGTACTGTACAGGGTTTTCAATGTATTCTGTTTCAGGCTAAAAAATTGTCAAATATTTTATGTTTAAGAATCTTCAAACCAAACTTGTTAAATAAATAATTTAACTTTATAAAATACTCTTCCAGTCCTTAATATAGGATCTAATTATTGAGTTAATTTTGATCTTAAATTTAAAACCTATTTCTTATATTTTTTTCTAAATTATCCCTATAGATACTCTCTCAACCATAATCAAGTAAAAGAGAGAATGAGAATATTAAGGAAGATGATTATAATATTTTAGAAAAAACATGTCATATTTCTTATAATTAACTAACTTACCTAACTTTTTTAATCTAATCAAATTAGTTAAATATATCTTATATTAAAGATCGAAAGAGTAATAATTTTTTATGAGGAAAGAATTACACAACAGTATCCGTTCCTTTCACTTACTAGGCATATTTAAGAAATTATACATTTTTTTGTGCGACCAATATTTTTAATAAAATTATAAGTAATTAAACTATATTTAATTAGAGAGAGAGGTAGTAGCAAATTCACATTTAATACGGGATTATTACAAATATAGAACTTGAAAGTATTTTGGTCTCAGAGACCTATCAAAAAAGTCGAGATTATGAACTTACTGATAAGTGTTATCCCGAAATCCAAAACCCCCAGTTAAAACTTCAACTCAAGGGTTTTCATTGGGCTTGGTTAGAAGCAACAAATATTATACAATTCACATACAGCCGAAAAGGTTGTGATTCTATCCGACAGATAAAATGAGTTCAACAAGTTTTATGACTTGTTAATTAACGTTAATCTAAGCATAACAAATTTCAGATATACTTTTCTTGTCTTAAATATAAAATCCATTTTATAATATAAATTTGTATTATAAAATAGATTTTAAATTTAGAACCGAGAGAGTATTATAATGGATGGGCTCATCATGTCCCTCCTATTTTTAAAACCTCGGCTGGAGACTTGAGCAGCTTCTTCAACGAGTCCACAATGTTAGCGAAAGATGGTCTCTCATTAGGATCACTGTGCATCAGAAACAAGAAACAAATCATCGAGTCAAAAAAATTGAAGATGCTGCTGATATTAAGGCAAATAACACATGAAACATGCTAAATTTTCCAAATGTTAGCCCATGAAGCAAAAAATACGCTAGAGTAGAATGAGGCTGATAAGACCGATGATTACAAGTGTCCACTGTCCAGTACAACATAGCTTCGCGTTTGTAAGGCATTTCCACAGGGGAACTTAAGTTACGGGGTGATGTTAGAATAAAAACCAATTAAGAGCCAAGTCACAACAAAGATTAATATATACCTATACAAGTGGAGGACTAAAAGGCCTCTTATGTCTTCCCAAGTCCATTTTGTTATATCATTCGACGACATGAATAAATATCAAGATGTAGATTAAATAAGCGCAGCAAATCACCCAAATGAAGCATGCACTGTTGAAATATTCCCCCACGCACTAGGATTGCCACCTCATAAAGCCACTAGACATATCAAGACATGGAAGTGGGCAGCTTATGTTGGTGCCCGGTGTAACAAGCAGGACATAAGATTTATCCTAATGTTAATCTCGATCATGCCAAATAGACTGGGTCATCTCAAACAAATCGAACCAGGCTTCCAATAAGGTTTAAAGCAAAAATGAAAAACTTCCAAAGAAATATACTCCTCCAGTTTTTAATATAAGATTTATTTAACTAATTTGATTATATTAAGAAAGTTAAGTAAGTTGCTGATTATAAAAAATATGACATGTTTTTCTAAAACACCACAATATTTTTCTTAATATCTTCCCTCCCTTTTCTATTTGATTATGGTTGAAAAAGTATCTATGATAATGGTAATTTAAAAAAAACTTATAAAAATGAGAAATAGGTCTTATATTTAGAATTAAAATCAACTCAAAAATTAGGTCATATATTAAGAACCTGAGGAATACATAATTAGCACTTACTTAGCCCAACACGATTCCATGAGAGAGCTTAGTTTTGGGGAGGTGTTTGGAGGGATAACGAGCCTCCTATTTTGGAAAGCAACAGCTCCAACCACCTGAGAGTGCACATGACAACGATTATTTTAGTATAAACTTTCAAGATTTCATTTCGCCCAGCATTTAGTTGGAAAGTAGAAATTCACATGCATGCAACCTCCCCATCATTCAGGTTAAAAAAAAAAAAAAAAAACCTCCCCATCATATCTCCTTGAAAATAAACAAGTCATTGGAAATGAGCCCTGCAGATGTATGAACTCACACATTGAGTAAATAACTGATTATTTCGCTAAATAAATTTTACCTGAGCAGGGCTAAGACCACTCCACGGTTGCTGCATCGTGACCAATTCCCATAAGATGACTCCAAAACTGTAAACATCAGACTTCTCATTTGAAGGTTCTCCACGAAGGAATTCAGGAGCCATCCACTCGGGCTGAAAAAAAAATCAAAAGAGTTACGCTCTTATTGATAGAATCACAACTTTCAATGTTGAAAGGAACCGAGGCTTTAGCTATCTGTCTATCTATATATGTATGTATGTATAGGAACTTTGACAAATAACAAAGTCCGATTATATTAATGAACACAGGAAGGATGGCGCAGTCTAAATTTGCTCTCCTAAGGCCCAACTGGAAATGCACAAGGATTATCCTTCATCCACACAGGATAAAGAAGCGATGTCAAGTGACATACATACACCCAATCTCATTGTAGATCAATCATTCAATAATCTTTTAAACATAATTGTTTTGCCTTGGGCATTCATTGATCTTAATTCTCAACACCATCTTGAAAAAGACTAACAATAAGTAGCACTTTAGCCGTTAGTACACTTAAATCATGATGCACTTGTGTGTATAAAAAGTAGTTAAACACATCCTTTACTTGAAACTAGAGAGTCCTCAAATGCTTTTCCCCCGTTTGTGGGTCGATTTAGAAGTAATCACTATGCTCATGCACAAGCATATAGCAAGACTTACTGTTCCAGCAACAGATTTTGATGATACGAAAGTGTTGGCCTTGAATCTTGACAATCCAAAATCGCACACCTGGGCATGAAGAGTTTATAGAAATCATAAACGTGCACAAACTTGCACAAGATGTCAGAAATTCTTCATAGATGAACTGCTCAATCAATTTCAGTTTACCTTCACGGTCCAGTTTTTGTCGACTAACAAGTTTGGGGATTTGAGATCCCAGTGCAAAATCGGAGGGTTAAGGCAGTGAAGATAATTGATCCCTTTAGCCTGTGATCGGAAAAAATACATATATAGATACATACATGCACGAGGTATACAAAATATTTTATGAATAATAACGAACTATGTAACACTATTTGATACAAACCACATCTAAAGCCATCCGCAATTTTCTCCTTTGATCCAGATTTTCGCCAGTTGTGGGTCTATGAATCAGGCGGTATAAGCTACCCCTGTACCATAGGTACCGGAAAACAGTAATAGTAAGAAATTTAAATCTTTATGCAACAAATTTTAATATAATGGCTCACAACGCGAGAGTTCGCAAGCTTTACCTAGGCAAATATTCTGTCACTATGGACAGATGAGGGCGTTTTGTAACTGCACCCATGAAAAGCACCACATTTGGATGGCGTATGCGCTTCATTATTGCAACCTAAAATGGACGAAAATAACTGCTTGAGTTTTAACTAGTTCCTTTATGACCTTTAATATAGAAGGGAACAAAGAATCAAACAAAACAAGAACAAAGCAACAGGCATGAAGTGGGAAAATGAAGAGGTTAATTATGTAAAAAGAAAAAGAAAAGAAAAAGATTGGTAGTAGCATGATCTCCTCTGGTAAAACATGAAACGAACACAAGAAAAAAGTAGTTTTCCAGCATGCCTATTTGCGAACAGCCAACATGTACTCTGGATCTAGATAACAGACCGTTGGGCTAAATACTTTTGAAATCAGACCTCTGTATCCACCTTTCATTAGATAATTAGATGGAAATTTGGAAAAGAAATGTGTCTAAATCTGAACCAAATTTATCTGAGCCAAACAACAGCTATATGTGGGTACGGGGGTACCTAAGAGCTAAGAGGCTAGGACATAGTCTAATCTGATTTACGAATGCATACCTCTCTCAGAAATTCTTTCAATTGATCATCATGGAAATCTTGGATTGAAAGAACTTTGACTGCAACATCCTGCATTTCAAATACAATGGATTAATTAACCATCACCAAAGTAATTGTAAGTATAGCCTGTAGGTTGAAGCACATCTTGTTTTTCTGGCCCTCCCCAGGGCATACTAAGGGAACCAATTAAAATTATTCAGTTGCCGATCTGCTTCTCAATCAGCATGCAGTATTCATTTAATTCAATGAATCCATCACATTCACTTTACATCATCGACTGAAAATGCCAGAAAGAAGTACATTGAATACTTACTGATCCATGCCATTCACCGCGGTGCACTGTCCCAAACGAACCTGCGGATGAAAGAATAGCGACGTCACAGAGTCAGCTACAAGGTAAATATCTCCAGATATGTTCATAAGGTCGATCTAGGACAATAAGTAAGCAAAAACTTTACCGGCACCAACACGCTCTTTGATTCGTAAATCATCCCATGATATCTCAAGCCAGTCCATTGCAAGTGATGGTTCAAGATTCAAGTATCTTGGAATATCCTTAGCAGGAAAGTAGCCCTGGTTTTCAAGTCCATTGTCTACCTTCTCCGGTTCTGATTGATTTGGAGAGCTCAATATAGAATTTTTCAAAGAACTTCTCTCATTGGTCGAATAGTCTTGTACTGCAACTAGCTCTTCCCCAAGCCTGGGATATTCATGTAATGATGCCTCAACTGGTGAATGAAGGACTTCAGAAACACCTTCCCAGATGGAAGGCAAAACTGAACCTAGAACTGCACGTTCCTCAGCATTCCTTTTTAAGCCAAAAGGAACCAGAGAAGGTTCTGTTCCTTCTGAAGTTTGATCAATTGATGCGTAAATGGAGCCTGTAGGGTTTATTAGCAAATCAGTTTCACTGACTTGCTGATCGTTCCGTCCACAGCCTGCTAGAGATTGAATAATAGCTATAAAACAAACTTTAAACTAAAATTCCTCTGCGTGAATTGTAATTTTTTTTTTTGGTTGGGGGGGGGGGGGGGAATAATAGATTGTAGTGTTTCCTCCCACAATAGGAGTTAAATTTGTAATATCAGAAGTCAATCATGCGCCATAAGACTAGGAAGATGGCAAAAAGCATAACGCATCTTAAAAATGCATTTACTACGAATCTTATCATTTGCATTACTTCCGAAGTTGAAGTGAAAAAGAAACATCAAATATATCTATGATATGCCTTACTTCATTAGTAGAAAAAGAAACATCATACATCCTTCATAAAACCACGAATCTAAACTGTCACAGTAAACGAAAAATGATCTTGATCAAACTTAAATACCTCAAGGTATAAAATACACATGATATGTTTTCTGCATGTATCACTTTCACTATTAAATGATATTATATTCTGTGGAAGTAAAATATGCACGGAACCAACTGGTTAAACTGTTAAAATCGTTCTGCAAATAAGTTTAAGCACCTGGTACCATGAAGGACCAACCAAGAACTACATAGAATCTTCCTTCAAATTTGAAATAGTAAAATACCATAAGTCAACTGGAAAACCGACTTTCCACATGTATAACATACCTGAATATAAACGACTGTCAGTAACAACAAAACTATGATTGGGACTTGTAGATACAAGGTCCAGACAGGGTGATTGGGATTCCTTTAAATGAGAAATTTGAAATGGGGAAGGCATGGAGGAGACATATGCTCCATTGATAGAGGAATCTGGTCCATGGACATTTCCTGGCTCCCCAACTAGATCAACTACATATTCCCTGTTAAGAACTATGTTAGCGAACAAGGCATACGTAACAGAAAACATGAAACAAATTGTCAGGAGCAAGTTTGACAATCAGCCACATATGAGTAGTAAAATACCATGTAATGATATCAAGCATTATTGTTCAAGCTGCCCTTCTAATTAAACGACTTGTTGAGGATCGAATAAAAAATCTAGTATCAAAACTTTGGAAGCAATGCAAGAATTTTTGACTGACAGAGTACACACCAAGGCAGAAAAGATGCTAGGTTAGATTACAGTCAAAACTTCATTTGCAAAGCAAAAATGGGAGTGTCAGGACAGCAATATTGCACTAACCTAGGGAACTGCTTGTCATCTTTAATCTTGACAAGGCAAGAGGATCGATAGTCAGCAACACAATACTTGCAACCGCGAGCAATACGGCACGGCAAACCTATGTAATCTGCCAACCTCTGCAGGTGGAGAGGAAATATCAGGGAATAACAGATGAGCAATAAGAAACAATTTAAGAAACAGTGCTAGCTTCTCATAATAAATTAACTTGAAGAACAATCAAGTGAGTACATACAAGACAAAGAGGAAAGAGCAAGTTAATTAAGATACCTACCGGCGGACAGGATGTGAAAAGGCAGGGTGGGGGGGATTCGGAGTCACAATTTGAAATTCTTTGTAATTAATTTCTTAACAACTGAAGCTGAGTCCACAGCCCCAAAAAAAAATTCAAAGAAAGAAAGAAAAGAAATCGAAGAAGATATAATTGACAGGTATGAATGTGTTCATTTTTTTTTCTTTTCTTTCCTTTTTTTTTTTTTAACCTTCAACTGAGGACTGTAGTGTTCAAGCTCCCACAAGAAATGCCAATGACAGGAACAGAAATGGCATCTCATTAACAAACATTGCTAGAGTAAAACACTCTATTATTCTACTAATAAACTTATACAATACTCACTCAAGTTCCTTATATCCATTATAACAAATTTCCCAATACACATGATCATGTGTCCTATTTTTGAAATATTAGCAATTAATACCATTTAATCATAAATCCACATAAAACAAAAAAAGACACATGACTATTTGTAATTAGAAAACTTGACATAATGGATATAAACTAGATTTTTTCCAATAAACTTTTCCAGGTCAGTTAAAATTATCAGAGAAGGAATGCACAAATAGGGTTAAAGCTAAAAAGGAGGTAGTGTCAAAATCGCCAATATACGTCGTCGCTATAGAAAACTTTTCATATAAGTTGTTCAGATGTCATGTAATTACTAGCAAATTGCTAAAGAAAAACTTCACACAAATTTTGTCATCAGCCAACGAAGAAAAAAGTGGACAAATTCCATAAGGGCAAATAGTTCACAGCATCAAACTATAATTTCGGAACAAATATTTAATCTTGATGTAATTAATGAGGATTTAAGTCCTTATGAGAGCATATTCTTCACCTTGAAAAGAATTGCTCGATGCCGACAAAGTCCAGAAGATAGGCTGCCGATAGGAAGCACAACGCACTTGTGAAAATTCCTCAATCTCGTACTAAACAACTTCCAGTGCCCGTGAAGATCACCTTGTTCTGCCGGAAAAGTACCCCTTCATATATACATATCAACCCACAAAGAGTCAAAACCTAAAGAACCCCACAAACTTCAAACTGGAATGAAAACAGTGTTTGATTTGTTTACTTACCCCATATATACGGCAACAAGTTTTCCTAGCTTTTCCACTAACACCAAGGTGTTCTCTGAAGCACAATACAATTCTTGTGCTTTATCCTGAAGCTGCTTGAGTCTCGAATCCTCATGGATATCAACAAGAACCACCTCCATAGATGTCTCGCTTGGTTCAACTGCTTTAAGCGCTAAGAGAGAGGGGAGCCGCCTTCCTTCGTCCTCATTATTGCACATTGCCCACAAATATGGATTTATCCCCAGAATGTTATAGAAACCATCCGTTATCTTATCGGAATATGATAAACAACCGCTCACCTGAGAATAACATTTCAACAGACTTAGTTAACCTTCGGGCCAAAAAATAAAAATCAGACTTGGGTTAAACTAAACAAACAATATCCACAAGCTTCCGCTCTATGCAATATGCGGGGACATAAATATATCTATAACTATTTTTATAGTGAGTGGAGAAAAGAGAGTTTCATGATCTTACCCATAAACGATAAGAAACGGATTCAGCATCCCAAGTTTCGATTTCAGTGCCCAGAGTAAGCGCAGGCTCAGTAGCAATATTTGCTAGACCAGTAAGCCTCCTAGCCAACGTAAGTTGCAGGCGGTAGCTCTCTGCGGACTTTTGCACCATCTTATCTTTACTCTCTTTTTCATCTTCCTCTTGCTTCCTGGAGGAGCTGAAAATCGACGACGTCGTCTCCTCCTTAATGTCACTGGAAAAATTGCCATCCAATGTTGTCCCCGACAACAAGCTCCCGGCATAGCTACTCCCATTACTAGATAACCTTGGTAACGACACCTGCCGATCAAAGCTCTGGTCAATGGCAGAATTCTTCACTGTCTCCGGTGGGGGAGGCGGCGGCACCGACTCCGGCGGAAGCAGAAGCTCGCGTTCTTCCTCGCTGGATAACCGGTGAGAGTACGCTTTCACGTGACCCGATCTTCCCCCCTTTTTCTCTATCGACCAATTGCAGATATCAACAACCTGCTTGTGTTTAGTCCGAAGCTTGCCACCACCCGTGAAAAGATCGGATACAGCTGAGTGTTTAATTGGCGAATAAATGACATCGTTTTTTATGGGAGTAGTTGACAGTGACGGCTTTTTTTTATCGTCACATTCAGCGCCAAAGGTTCCCGATTTGATGGAGTCGAAGATCCTCTTCTTCTCGTGATCTAAGAGCTGTTGGAAGGATTCATCCAACCTACGGTCCGGGAATTGCCTCGGGAAAATGTAAGTTGCCCTGTGAGGCATTTTTTATGACGAGAGTCCCTGGGAAAAGCCACCAACACGACCGTCCTGCCACAGCGCACGCACGGACGTGCAAACTATTTTCCCTCTCCGTCGCCGTCGCTTGTCTCGTCGTTCTTCCTTAACCCAAATGACTTCGCTTCACCCTTTGGCAGTGATCGGTTGAGTTCGATAACTGGAGAGAAGAAAAGAATGCAGTATCCTACATGAACTATACCCTTTTGGTAATAAACTTCAAACCCTCGAAAGTGGGGTAGATTTTGTCCACGAATTCAAAGAAATTAGTACGCCGAACGAGTTCAAGCATCCAAACACAAATGAGGCTTGAAAGGCAGCTGGATGAAAGTGCAGTGTAATTAAACAACCCACTACTCGCTGGCCTGAGACTTTCAAGGCGGTGGAAACAAGGAAAAGGGAGAAACAGGATGGAAAGCAAGTTTAAGTGTGTGCAAATTTCTCTCTGAGATTTGGTTGGTTGCTTGTGACGTTGTATATTTTAAGCAGAAGACTTGCGAGAGAGGGGTGGTAGAACCGGCAACCGCAATTTGGAGGGTATCAATAACAAAGTATTAAATATACACGTTAACGTTACGACTATAAGGATCACGACGCCGTGAGGCGCATGCACGCGCGCGCACTTTCTTTTTTTCTGTAGATATCAGTGACTAAAATTTTTAATTTGCATGGCATATTTTTTCTTATAGTGAATAACGTTGAATAAAGATAACATTAAAAAATTTTAATTAACATCATCAAGTGACATATAATATTCATCTGATCCTTAATATAAGACTTAATTATTAAATTGATCTTGATCATAAATATAAGATTTATTTATTATATTTATTAATTTTTTAAAATTATTCCTATTGATACTCCTTCAACTATAATCAAGTAAGACGGAAGAATATGTTAAGAAAAATGACTATAGTATTTTATGAAAAATATTTCATATTTGTCATAATTAATTAACTTACATAACTTTCTTGATATAATCAAATTAATTAAATAAGTCTTATATTAAAGACCGGATAAGCAATTAGTCTTTTTTTTTTTTACCAGAAGAGCAATTAACCATACATGTCTTTTATAAAGTGCTTTGTTAAGGGTCGCAAAAGTGTGTGAGTAAAATACCACGATCCATAAAATAGAATAAATAATCCTTACCTCATATTGCATGGTTCATATATATAACCCACTAACCCCATTTCTAACCTTAGTATAAGGCTATTGCTGGGGGAAATTTTGACTTATAATTCACATTTTCTATAAGTGTATTGAAGGCAAATAAATAAGTATATATAATCAAGTGTATACTTGCTCTGATCATTAATATAGGAGCTTATTAAAAAATCAATTTATTTTTAAATATAATATCGTAACTCACTTTATCTCTAATATTTATTTATTTTGTTTTCAAATAATTCTTATGGTAACTGTACATGTTAAAAAGTCTTTATTAAGTAGTAGTTTTAATGTATATGATTGATAGAGATATTTTGAGAAAAAAATATCAACTTATAACAATTAACTAATTTAACTAATTTTTTATTATTTACAAATTAGTTATTTAGTTCTTATATTAAAAAAATAGTATAATCAAGTGTAAATTTTAGCATAATTATGTACAATGTTACTTGATGACACTTCTAATTTCATCTAAGCAAATGCTATGGATGTATGGATATAAAAAGTTTAATTTGGCCATGCAGGGATCATGCATGCATGTGGAAAAATGAGACGAGCCTGAGATTTTTTAAAAAAAAAAACTGTTTACAAATACCCGTTTAAAACACTTATTTATTCTTTAATATAAGATATATTTTGTAGTATTATAAAGAATATAAAGAATCAACATTAAATGTTTTTATACGAAAAAAAGAATTAGTACTACAAGGGATATGAAGAATTCATATTTTTCAGATTTTAATATGTTATCACCTATTAAGTAGGTAATTTTTCAAACAGCTATTTAGAGACAAATTTTCTCCTAAAATCTTGGTGTATTTTAATTGAATTTTATCAAAATAATTATATGTAAGAGGAAAAATTAGATTTAACTTCATCACATGTGTATACCAAAAAAGGAGTTTAATAATATACTGGTAATATTTTATTAAATAAACACTAAACATATAAACCTAAAAAAAAAAATGTTAAGTTCCAACTTGACCACCGTTAACAACCGGGATGCAGTGGCGCTATTCCCCGTGTGATCATTTGTCGTCATCTCTCTCTGTTCGCGGTGGGTGTTTTCAACGGCCTGTGATCATCTAAAAAAATAAAAAATCGCAACAGGCTTTGGTTTCCATTTTGATATCGCTTCTAGCATGTGCTGTAAAGGTTGTTTCTCCTTGTTACTTTTTGGATTTAGATTTTCTTTAAAACTATTTTTATTGGCTCTTCCTCACTTGGAATGCGTGAACCTTTCTAGTAGTAGTATTTATCTCGACTTGGTGCGCGTCTTCATGGAGAGAACTTCAAATTCCAATTAACCCCACTAACGCAATTTTATTTTAAATAGGGATTAAAAAAAATCTAAAATCACAATGTAGTGCTATCTCTTCTACTATTTAATACTAGAGCTGGTAATATGAGTTGAACCCATAGTTTAACCTGCCAACCCGTAAAAAATGACGGGTTAGGGTTGGCCAAAAGCCAATCCACCAATAAACAAGTCTTTTTAACCCGTACCGTCAAGCCCGCAACCCACCGTGGGTTAGCTCGTCAACCCGCGGGCTAACCCACATTTATTTTTTTATCTTTTTAAATTTTTTTAATTATTATAATTATATTATAATATATTATATCCTATATAAAAATGAATAAAAAATACCTATATAGTTTATTTGGTGCTTTTAATCAAATGTTTCAAGAAAAAACAAAAATTTTATTATTATTTTTAAATATTATATAATAAAAAATATTAAAAAGTAAAAAATAAAAAATAAGTGTTGACGGGTTAGCGAGCCAACCCATTAACCCACCTTGACGGGTTAGGGTTGGCTAAAAACCAACCCGCTTTCAAACAAGCCTTTTCAGCTGGACCCGTCACGGGCCAACCCGTAACCCGCGAGTTGGCCCATATTACCAGCCCTATTTAGTACTCATCCGATTCTAAATATAAGAACTATTTTATAGTATAATTAACGTGATAAAATAAGTCTTGTATTTAAGATTGGAGGAGTATATGATCTAATTTGTGATTTGAATTCTCCATCTTTAATATAAAATCTAATTTTGAATTATAAACATGTTGTGTAACTTGTGTGTGTTTAATATTATTACTGTCAAATCGCTCCCCCTTCTCATCCTGCACAATAATTACCCTTCAAATATTCATTTCCTCGTTATATCCCGTGAGAAAACGATATTACTAGTTCCTTGGCAAATAGGAGAATATCTTTGAACAAGTCAATTTAAGCAAGGACGCAGTGGAGGATTAATTAGCCACCTGGGATGTATTACTATTTCAATCCTCACCAATCCCTACTGATGGGCTAAATGTTAGAGATGATTTTCGAAAAATGTGGTTCCTCGCTAATTAAATTTGGTATGGGAGATTGCGTTTCTGGCTAGTCCTCTAATTACTCGAGGAGAAAAACACAGTCCCTTGCTATAATTTAGTGCGTTTGTGTTTTGGTTATACACTCAATAAAAAAACTCAATTAAAGGAAAGAAAACACTCATCTGGCTCTTAATATAACATCTTATTAATTAATTTGAATAAATCAAGAATGTTAGTTAAATTAGTTAATGTGAGATATTTTTCCTAAAACATTTTAAGCATATTTTTAATTCCCTTATTCTCTCTCTTATGTGATTAACGTTAGGAGTATATTAATAAATTAATTTAAAAAAATTAATAAACATGTTAAATAAGTTTTATATATAACATTAATATTAATTTTTTAATTAGTTTTTATATTAAGTGAAAAAAGGATAGTAAAGAATCAGCCAATTGCTATTATGCAGTCTTCTCAGCGTTGGACGTTGGAGCCGAGCTCAGCGATGCTGAGAGAATGGAGAGAATAGAGTGCAGTGAGTTACACCAATCTAGAAAGATAATTTTTTTGCCATTCCATGCATACAGGGGATTTCTTTTATTTTTTTATGAGCTTTATTTCTTCCACCCATTTTTTATGCACTGTGATCTTTAAAGTCTAAGGGAAGGTCTGACATCCTCCCGTGATCACTTAAAAACGGTATTTTCCTCACAAGGCAGTACAAAACTCCTAACACACACTAAGATCACTTTAAAAAGCAAATTCAAAAACTCACCGAATTCAATTTAGCCTAATTAAGGTGACTCATACGGGCAGGCCCGTTGTGCCAAGCTAGACTTAGAGAGTATTTGGATAGAAACCAAACTATAGTTTCAGAAGTGTTTTTACAGTTTACGAAGTAAATATGTAGAGTAATTTGTCTCGTTTTGCGGAAAAGTACTTCTGAAACCATGGTTTGGAGGTTGTCAAACACCCATTAGCTAGGCAGAACTCTGAATTACTATGTCCGGTTCAAAATATAAACTAAACTTTATCTATTATGTTCATTAATAAACTAATTAAAATCAATTTAAAACAATAAATGTGTAAGACATATATTTGTTTTTTCTAATAAGTTTTTATTAATGAAGAGAATAAGTAAAAAATGTAATAAATGAATTAAAAAGATAAAAAATATATAGGGATAAAATTTTAAAAAATTCATTAAATGCTTAAACAAAAATAAATATTATCTTATAAAAAAACTATTTTTTTTAAAATTTAGTTTATATTTTAAAGCAGAGAGAGTATTATCAGCCAACACAGCTTAGCCTCGTTCTAACATTAATGTTCCTAACGAAGCCTTTTCCAACAACTTTCACCTGAATCGCTGTTTTCCCACGGGACTTTTCTAGTCGGTATTTGTACTATGTCATTGCTTTAAAACGACGGCGTCTCCGGAGGAGAAGTCGGTCGATCTTCGCAGGCAACTTTGTTCGTATTAATAGGACGGTTTATCGTCTTGATTCAAGGCACGTGGCCACGCACTGGCACTGTTTGTTTTCGTCCGCTAAATTTTAAGAAAGGAGAAAAAGCCATGTCCAATCACTAGAAAGAGTGTGGTAATTATTGGGGGAGTAAGCGGATTAACCCATCACTATAACGCTTCCGATTTGTTTTTTGTTGTTTTGACTTCGCTTGCGCTTTGATAAAGACAGATAAAAATTTAATACATTTTTTGATGCAATGTAATTATCTGGGGTGCTAGCCACTGAAGGAGTTTATAATTTAATATTGAAAGATAGAAGCCAGAAATCACATGTAGGGACTGGCTTTTGGGGACAGCGGAGAATGCTCCCAGAGATATTCTATATAAAGAAAGGACACATCTAAATGAAGAATGTGGGGACTTGCATTGGGTCTCCTTTTTGTTTTTGTTTTTTTTGGGTGAAGCAAGGACTTTAA